CGAACAGTACTTACTCTTTTCTCGAAGAAAGCAACATTCTTCCCCTGGAACAGAAGGGATGCGGGAGAGAGTCGTAAAGATCAACTATTAATAAACAAAATAATCCTGGAAAATTGCAGGGATATTGGTAGAAATCTCAGAACAGCATGAATAGATTACCGTAAAGCCTTTGATAGTGTATCACACTCCTGAATCCTTAAGACTTTAGAAATGTACAAAGTCTTCTCGGTGATAGTAATTTTTTTTTAAAACCACATTATACCTAAATCACACCAGAGACACTGCTACGTCCAATCGCCTGAATATCCAATGAGGAATCTTTTAAGCAAACACCCTGTCACCCTTTCTCTTTTGTTTGTCCTTAACACATGAACTAAACAATAATAGCTATGGATACAAATCAAACAATAAAGTATTCAATCACATACTCTACACAGATGATTATAAACTCTTTGCCAAAGATGACAGTGGGTTGACGGATCTCCTCAATACTGTAAAATGTTTCAGTGACGGGATCGATATGGATTTCGGATTAGATAAATGTGCAAAAGTAACATTCAAGAAAGGGAGAATTACAGAAACACATTCAATATATCTCGATTTTGTCACAAAGATTAAGGAACTGGCACAAGTAGAAGCCTAAAAATACCTAAGAGTCAGCAATGAGAAAGTAAGAAAAGAATACCGCAGGCGTGTGTGTCTCATATTGAATACCGAGTTGAATAATAATAATAATAATAATAATAATAATAATAATAATAATAAACAGGATATCAGCCATAAACACTTTGGCTGTTTCGATGGTGCAATAGTTTCAACATAGTTAACCAGACCATTAAGCGAATGGACGCCAAAACGAGAAAGTTTCTCATTTTCCACCGAATGCATCATTCCATGGCGGCTGTTGATCGTCTGTTATGTGCCCAGATCCGAAAGAGATATGGACACTACCCACACCCACATAGGATCTGTAACAATTTTATGAGACATTACAATACACACAGACGGAACAATCAAAGCTGATCGCCCTGACATCGCGATCAGAGACCGCAAGGACAAAACGTGTCTTCTTATTGGCATAGCAGTCCCTGCGGACTGTAATGTATCTTTGAAGATCTCAAAAAAAAAAAAAAAAAAAAAAACTATCAAAATGCAAAGATCTTGAAATCAAAATCTTCAAAATATGGCATATGAAGACATCAAATTGTAGTTGGAGCCTTTGGATTGATTGGAAAAATTTTCAATAGACCAATTGAAGGGATTCCTCGTAGTACTTGGTTTAAAGAAATACAAAAGATTGTATTCACAAGCAAAGCCCCCACGTCTTACAAAGGGTTTTATCTATGTAAAATATATATGATCTTAGATTGATTTTTTTTCTCAAGTGGAAAATGTCATGATGCCATTACTAACCATAGGTCTCTGGTTGGGACCCGGAAAAAATGAGTATACACTAGAAGCCAAATAAAATAATTATAATAATAATAATACACACGTTAAGAGAAGAGCGCGATTTAAGAAAAGAAAAAAAAGCACAGTTTTTGACAATGTTGAATAATATTTCAATAGAATATCTGTCTTCAAGTTATATTAAAAAAAAAACTTTTTTCAAGTATGAAAATATATAAATCTACAAAAAATTATAAGTCTGTACAAACGTTGCTTGTCTACGATTTATTACTGACTTAATACAGTAATTGTGGCACAAGGCCGGAAAAAGGGGGAGATAGTCAATTTTGGTCGATACTAATTATTCTACGCCTAGCTAACCAGATTCACGACGCATTCATTCATTACAATTTACTCATTCACCATAAGAATCTATCCGTCACCATTCGCTTCTATATATACTAAAATACCTCACACAAATAGGGCCCCGACTGAAAAGTACCCCACGAGTTAAAATTTCAATATGTACAATTGTGTATACAAAATATATATAAAAATTATATCAATGAAATGATGGTGGAAGGATGACCCCGAAAAACTGAAAATGAATGATGTTAGTAGGACCCGTCCACTAATAAAAAATTAAAGGTGACCGCTGTATTCTTGTCTTCCGACAAAACTAGAAACTCTACAACTACTTAGAATTATTGCTCACCGATACTGTAGAGCAGGCTAAGAGTCATTACTCAAAATATACCGCCCATTAATTAGATAAAAACTCGATTATGGCTGCTTTATATATGGCGAAGCAAGAAAAAGTTACATTAAAGAACTCAACACTGTTTATCATCAAGGATCAAGAATAGCCCTGGGAGCTTTCACCACATCTCCGGTAGAAAGCTCTTACACAGTAGCACATGGACTTCCATTAGTAAAATGACAGAAAAAAAAACTGGCTCTTCAATATTATATTAAATTCTCAATCTTCCCATCAAATCCTACAGATAAATGTACATTTCATCCACAATATACTGAACTCTTTAACAGAAAAGACAACGCCATCAAACCATATGATATCCATCTGAGTAATGTCATTGAAAAATCACAAATAAATACAACACAAATCCACGAGTCCATCAATTCTAAAACACCTCCCTGGGTGATAAAACAACGAGATCTCCCACTAAAACTCAGTGAGTTCCAAAAACCACAAACCAATCCTATCACATTCCATGAAGAATTACTTTCCATCAAAGATGCCTACGTAGATGACCTGACCATCTCTACAGATGGAGCTAAAAATGACGACAAAGTAGGATGTGCAGCCGTCCACCACAGATTAAATTGAATGAAACCACTTTCAGGAAAAGCTTTGATATTTAGTGTCGTGGTGAATGCTATCGACTTGGCTCCCGACATGATAAAATCAAGTAATCATAAAAAAATTATTGTATAAACTGACTCCATGTAAGTGATCAAAGCACTGAGAAACAAAAAAAAAAAAAAAAAAAAAAAAAAAGAAAAGAAAAATCCACTCATCATTAAACTACTCAACAGGACCAAACAGAGATATTGTCTTCTGCTGGAAACCAAGCCATATTGATATCACAGGGAATTACAGAGCGGATTTAGCAGCAAGAAAAGCATCTATTATAAATAAACACACCAGACCCTCTTAAATACCAAAATCCCATACAGGTGTGCCCACGTCGCAACCGTGCGTGACATAAGGTTGTGATTTAAAGTGGGTCTAACGGGTGTACCCTGGAAAATCTCCAAAGCTCTGTCAGCACTTCCTCATATGGGGACACCTCAGGCGCAGGGCATTAAACCCAGCTCCCTCCCAAGGGAGAAGTAATGCCCGGGGCTTCGGCTTAATATTAGAAAAATATGGACCCCAGCCCAAAGGCCGGAATGGACTTCAGATTTCAGTGTCGCACTTTCCGTCCTCTGTCCAAACACTCCACAGATATTTAAATTGTTGTACTTGTTTGATTTTGGTATCTTCAATTTGTAATTTGTATGTTGGGCTGCTATGTTTGCAACAAACACGCATTCTGTCTGCTCTAGCCTGTTCAACTGTCGAACTCTCTGTCTTGAGCAGAGAGGAACCAGGACGAGGATTTGCCGAAGGGCAAAGATTCGTCGGGGAGGTAGACAGACCCTGAACTCGTTTATGCGGGTTCTAAGGGAATATTTTTGGCCGAGCCTACGGGCTCGGAGGACCCATGGTAAACTCAGCCTTGTGCCACATACATCCCTCGTTTTGGCTGTTAAATATTAACACGTATTCTGTCTTCATGCAGTTTATATTTAGACATTTCTTCTCACTTGCCTTCATTACCTCCTGTAGAAGTTATTGTAAGCTTCTTGTCTGTGTTTGCTATCAACACTGAGTCATCTGTATATCTTATGTTGCTAAGATTATGGCCGCCAATAACGAATCCTGATAGAACTTCTCTCAGAATCATTTCACTTAATAGGTTGAATAAGTCCGGAGACAAGACACATTAGTGGATACATTTTCTAGCAGTATGAAGGCGGTTTGCTTCTAGTATAGGTTCTGGATTATTCTAATATAATCCCTAAATATATCATAGCTAGCTAGCAGTTCCAACAGTGCTTACACTACTTTTAGAAATTTACTTTATTTATTCATTATTTCTTTTCATCATTTCACCCCAAGCAAGGCGATAAAGGTACTAATACGCAAATGTTTACTGATAGTTAAATAATATAGAAGAGTATAATAAAAGAATGTAATCAAAAGAGACAGAAAATGACGATTAACGTTGAATTTAAATTTTTGAAGATCGTAGCTGACAGGAAAGCAAGAAAGCAAGAATCCACACGTGTGACATAAAAAACAACATTAGTATAGAACTTACGGTTACATCTCGCAATTTCAACAGTAGAATGATGGGACCTAGCTGCCAATATAGTACTGCGTTTAATTTGTAAATTCGAAGTACCAAAGAGGAGAGCGATATTTATTTCCGCTTCACTACAGAAAATATGGCACAAGGCCAAAAATGGGCAATGGGGAAAAGGACGGTCTTGTTCTGTCTTGACTTTAAACTTAGCTCGCCACAAACACTGACCCAAACATACCACAAAATTCCTAACACCAAAAACAGCACATTCTTACTTACCTTTCTTATTACATCCACCATAATACCTCCTTGTCTCTATGAAAATCCTAACTAGTCCCCGTATGTACAATACATTGTCTGTAGGCGGGAGAATAAAACAATAACAAGAGATCTTATCAGAACAATATCAGTATTTATAGAAGAGGCAAATGGAAGCTGTGTTATGGCGCTGGGAAAGAGACTGTAGATGAGACGCCTAATTTATTGATTTATTTATTTTTTGTTTGATTGGTAAAATAGTTTTGTGTACTTACCGCATTATCATAGCACATATACTGAAATGAGAAAAATGTAAAAAAATATTAAAGAAAATGTCAGGAAGAAGAACAGTGTTAGGTTCTAATGAAGGTAAGTAAATAAAACTGAAAAACCGTGTCAAACATTCAAACGGCCAAAGGCAAAGGACTGAGAACGCAATTTTCTTAACATGGCGTCAAAGCAGAACTAATACCTGACGAATCACAATCTCAGTAAGAGAGAGAGAGAGAGAGAGAGAGAGAGAGAGAGAGAGAGAGAGAGAGAGAGATGAGATGAGAGAAAGAGAGAGAGAGATGGGGAAACGAATGGTGAGAAATAATAAAAGTAAAGGTCAAGAGAGAAGGAGAGAAAGAGAGAGAGAGAGAGAGGGAAAGAACGATGAGAAATAATAAAAGAAAAGGATACGAGAGAGAGAGAGAGCGAGGTGGGTAGAACGGTGAAAAAGTAAAGGACAAGAGAAAGAGAGAGAGAGAGAGAGAGAGAGAAGAGAGAGAGAGAAGAGAAGAGAAAGAGAGAGAAGAGAAAGAGAGAGGAGTGTGAGAGAAAGCAAAGAGAAAAAATAGTAAACTTTCATTAAGTTTACATTCCTCTTAAGATATGGAATTTTCACTCGCATGAAATAATAATGTTGATGGAGAAATCTTGTAAACAAAAACGACGAGAGAGAGAGAGAGAGAGAGAGAGAGAGAGAGAGAGAGAGAAAAAAATAAAAAGTAAAGGGCAAGAGAAAGAGAGAAAGAGGGGAAGGAGAGTGCGAATGAAGGGAAAGAGAACGAAGAAATAAGATGTGAAGAGGAAAGAAAGATAATTGACTAAAGAAAAAGTGAAGAGAAAAAAAGGATATAAAAAAGAATAAGCTAACTGAAGCTGGCTAGAATATTGAAATAAACTTATACTATTTTTTTAATCATTTCACCCCAAGCAAGGAAATAAAGCCACTAAGACGCAAGGGGTTACTGTGTTTGAGAGGGCATGAAAAGAAGGAAAAAACAATATTAAGGAGAAACAACGATGAAAGAACAAGAAAACAGATGATAACGATTGACATGGCATTTAAATTTTTAAAGATCAAAGTTGACTGGAAAGCAAGAAACTGGAAGAATTTCACCAGTGAGAAGCATGACAGAAGGAACTGTTAACATATCTAGCCATTTCAACCGTAAATTGCCGTCAGTCTTGTACTACACTCAAAATTCATAAAGTTTATGTACCACAGAGGTAAATTTATCAGAACGAATTACTATGGAAATATTTATACAAAAGACACAGGGAAGCTACTTTACATCGGCGGGAAAGTGAGTGAATCCGTGATTCCAGGTCATTACCAATAATATTGCAGATTTTTCTTTGTATTTTATAAAGAGTCTCTAAATATATATCAGAAGCACCAGACCAGATATGACACCAATGTTCAATGCATGCACGAATGGTAGACTTATAAATGTCTAAGATATATTCTGGCGAGAAAAAGTGTCTACCTCGACACAGTGAAATAATCTTCTTAGCGGTAGACCTAGCAATTGATTCAATATAATCTTTCATATCAGCGGAAAACGTTAGACCAAAACAATACAGTTAGCCGCCTCATAATAGGACAATAGTTACTGAGTAAGTTTGCCTGGTTGATTATAGTACTTGAGTTCAACCCTATCAACATCATAGCCGGGATCATCGAGCCAATGCGATTGATCTTTTCTTTAGCTATATATTATGTGATACGCCAGGGTTATATACAGGTTTGAATTCAGAGTTATTTTCTCCTAGAATGGTTGCTACCCAAGGTTATAGAACCCAGTCTGTATTACTATTTACCCATAGCTGGAGAAGAAGAGGATTCATACATTTCCCAAGGTTATTAGCACGTAAGTGTATGTAATGGATCCGACTGGAATTTGAACTCGGCTCTCCGATTCCTCAATCTGCTATCCATTACTCCACCGTGCCTCGACCCCATAACTATTAAGCAAAGCTAACGACCCCTCCTTCTGTCACACAATAGTTGTAACATTTAGTCTATGAAAACATATAAGCTACTATGAGGTCTCCTTTATGTGCCGTGTCCTGTGTAAGTAGTTTGCAGCCATGGCTCTTTACATCTTCCTATCCTTTCTAACTTTAAGAAATATTTGTTCCTTTAATATTCCGCCCTTCTAGCCTTAAATATACCCTGCAACTGTCAATGACACAGTAAGGTAGATATTACTTAGAATTACGAAGAATAGGAAGTAGTGGAGAGCCATGATCCCCAGCGTCCTGATACTTAAAAGAAAATGAGTATCAAATTCTCCAGGCCCTTTTTCCTCATTATATGTCTCAAAAATTTCAACTGTTTCCTGATTCTAGTTTTTATTTTTGTTTCCATTTTTCTCACAACGTCCTCTTTGCTCACATATTCGACCCATAGTGTTCTCAGTATCTTTCTATAGAACCACATCTTCGTTGCCTCAAGTTTTTTTCATCATCTTGGAGGCAACTGTCCATCATTCACTGTCATATAGAGGGATTGTTGTTATTTAATAGTACAGTACTCTTTTCTTTGTTTCTAATGACATTTTCCTGTCTCTCGTTTTATTATATGGGAGATATTAATAAGTCATTTGAATACTCTTCGTCGTCTAAAGTGCCGTAGGCGATACACCTATGGGTGAGTGGTTCGAATTCAGAGAGGTTTTGTTCGAACCAATTGTATTAAACCCGAGGAGTCCATTATTTTCTGTCGCGTCTAGAAGGTAATTTCAAAAACAGATCCAGAGGAACTGCCGCTCCCTTCAAGCCTCGACAAAAAATAATGGATTCCTCAGGTTTAGTACAATGGTTTAAGAAGCTGTCGGTGTAGAATTTTTATTCCTTTAACGAAGCCTAGCCATATGCATACGTCTGTGTATGGGTCTCCTACGTAAAAAAGACGACCTTGAGTCACATCCCACCTTAGTGTACAGGCCTGTTAATACTGCATGGTAGAAACTTTTATACTGAAAATATTAGCAATTATTTCAAAAGAGTATCTTTTTTATTCCTATTTAGTAAATCGAGCAACTCCAGTGATTCAGCTGCAAAAAAGTATTAATTTCTTTTTTCTAAGGAGTTATTTCCCTTTGACCATTAGTTACTAGTTGCGCCCCTTTCTTTTAAATGCGATAAAGACTAGCTTAATATCTAACAGAAATGTTGACCAGTTTTTTGCCAATGCATACGTTTTCTTTTTTCTAGTCTTCTTTTAAAAAATCCTTTCATCCTAAGCAAGGCAACAGAGCCACTAGCACTCTGGTAGGTTGCTGAGTGGGAAAAAAATCAGAAAAAAAACATTATCAAGGAGCGAAAGAATAGGATTTAAGAGGACAGAAGATAACGATTGTCATTGCATTTAAAATTTTGAAGATCAAGCGCAACTGGAATGCAAAATTCCTGAAGAGAGTCCCACAAGCGAGAAGTGTGAGAAAAGAAACTGTTAGTATAGAATTTAACCATTTTGACTGTAAAATGATGAGCTCATGCTACCAATCTAGTAAAACTCACAGAGTTTTGGTGCCATCAGAACATTTGCCATAAAAGTATTTATAGAAAAGTTATAAGAAAGCTATATTACGGAGGTGGGAAAGTGACTGAAGTCGAGATGTCAGATCAGGACCAATAACATTGTAGAATCTTCTTTGTATTTTGTCAATCTTTAGGTATTTAGCAGGAGCACCAGGCAATATGTGGCAGAAATATTCAAAGCATGGATGAATGATAAAATAGGTTCCAAAAGAAAGAATACTTACAAACGAAGCTTTGTTCGAATTTTTACTGGATTCGTTTATACAATGTGTCTCAAATTCATGTAACTTAAAATAGTCAAGCTTTATTGGAAACAAAAACTGTAACAGTTTAGAATAGAAGCCAAACACCCGTAAGCAAAATGAAAATTACCCCTCATAGATAATCATTAAGGACGCGAAAAGCTTAAAAGTTGTTGTTATCGTTATAATTTAGTTTCTTAACTTGTTCCTGAAGTCAAGTAGTAATTCGTAAGTGCGAATTTCATGCATTTTTTGTAGAATAAAAAAAATAAAATAAATTGAGCCTTGGATCGTGGCCAGACGCGCATGCGCAAGATAACTGAAGGCCATTTATTCCACATCAATAAAAATGAAAAGTTTGCAGCGAAAACATGAAACCTGTTTCAAAGAAATTTTTTGATGTCTATATATGGAGACTTAAAAAAGAAAGAAAAAAACTTCTATAAAAACTAGATTATTCTAAAAAAAAATAGTCACATTCCGAACAGTCCGTTATTGGGAATATATATGCGAGTAGATATCCAGAAAAATACACAAAAGTATTTGATAATTTGATCCCAAATATAAACGCAAATTTTAAATTTATAATTTTGCACACGTGTGTCTGGCCTCCCCACCCCAAAAAGTCAAACTCATAAAAGTAATAATTTAGTTACCTCAAGATTTAAATAGTCAGGCAAATCTTCATCAAGTTCCTCGTATGCTGCGTTCTCCTGAAAGAAAGAAAATCATAATAAATTTACTATTAGATGAAGTATCGACAAACCTTTTTTTTTTTTTTACTAATATTCTTTTCATATTATTCTCCTTATTTTTCGTCTCAACAATCAGAAAGAAGAAGCTTTCGGTGATATTCGTTCATATCTTTTCTTCTTCTTAAAAACTCGTCTATACGAAGCCGCTTCCTCATCGATTAAGCTACAAGAGTTACAAATCTAACTATATTCTTTTTATTTTCTTCGAATGTCAGATTCTCTTTGTTGTATTAATGCTTGCATATACAAGAACTTTTTGTTGTCATCAAACATAGATTTTATTATTAGATAAAACATTATTTAATAAGAATTTATTTCATTTTATTTCTTTCGATTTTTTTTATTTATCACCAATATTGTACACTCATTTTATGGTTATTAGCTTGTAGTAAGGATTGATAATAAGAAGAGAAATACCATAAAAGAAATACAAGTGAAACCACAATAACAAATTATTGCTCAATTTTCTAAGACATTGGTTCTCAATCTTTTGTGCCCAATGCTCCCTTTTCACCATTAAGTCAGAATGTCACACCCACTTTCCAAGATTATCCGACTCAAAAGGTACATTCTAAGTAATATGCATATCGAAAATCTTCATTCTTTTCCACATTAGTATATACGCATTTACAAGGATTATTTTTATAGATGGACCTTAAAACTTGAATACATATACAGTAATTTCTTTTAATTCATAACTAATTATTGAATAAATAAACTGAAGCATAAACAAAAATTTCGATAAAAGGTCTGAGTATTTCAATCGATTTTATTCTGAAGATTAGAGTAAATGAAATACTTGAGATTGATTTTTCATCACACTGTCTTTCTTTTGACACTAATGCCGGGATTCTGTAAATAATAAACAAGGAAAAGCAAAAGATAACTATGGAGATCTTCGTTTTGCTTATCTTGCTCCAGCTGGCTAAGTACGGAAACCTACGTTTTTTGCATACCGCTGGTATGAGTGTACCGTTGCGCCATCTATCGTAAAATCACAAAATCGTAATCACAGTAAATTAAGGAGAGACAGTTAAATACTAGAACAAAATCTACAAAGATTTTTCCGTAGAAAAAGTAAACAAAATTATCAATAGATTTTAAAGCTGTTCATGGTTTGGGTGTTGAGACACTTTCTTTTTCACTAATTTAATTTTAGAAAGATTTTCTCTACCAACAAAAATATTACTGTATCCGAAAAGTAAAAAAAAAATAACTAGTGACAGTAGCATCAACTAATATATTGGGTGGGTGTATAGGGAGCATTAAGTACTTACAACAGATGTATTTATGGCGACGCAAAGATTCTGTTGAAATGAATAGGAAGTCTAGTTAATTTCTTCTGTTAATAATTTGCTTGATTCAATATTTAACGAAACTATATTGTGAAAGATAACATAAAATTGGATAAATACTTACGTATTTTGACTCCACCGATTGTTCCTTGAAATTAGATGACTGGTAAAAAAAAACCCCAAAAAAACAGAAAAATGAAAGTTACTTTGTGAATTGATTTTCAAAGAAGAAATTAGTAGTCATTTACGGAATAATCATATCATATTTTAATTATTTTTATTAAGTTTTCATTCAGGAAAAAAAACCGAATTAGAGGGTCACTGGATGAAGTTGTTCTATCGACGCAACAGGAGGCCGTAAGTACAGATTATGAATGTATATAATCTAGATAACTGTCCATTCTTAACTTGAAGATATTCAGATTGTAGTTATCGGGGAAACATACTCTCAAGAGTCTGTACCATAAAGTAGCTGTTTCCAGGAAGATGCTGTCTGAGTGGAACTTTCTTCTTACCAATTGAATACGGAGGGAATTAGGATGATTCGACCATGTGTACGTGGCATGGCATGGTATGGCATGTCCAAGCTGTGTAATAATATGAGGTCTTGTTAAATTTTAAAACAGCGAGACCTGTCGCACAACTCGATACGGAACATTTACTTTCGACCGATGGCTATCAGTAATTGGAGTTAACTTAAAAGTACAAGAGCAAGAGGTTCAGACCGAGAGAAAATGAGGGAAGGAAGATTAATTCTTTTTTTAGACGAAGATGAAAGGACAAAGAAAACTGTTGTTTGTAAAACTGACCATCCCGCGCAAAGAAAAACGTAAGGAACGAATCGGGCCACAAAGACATAGACAACGATCGTTGAACTGCGCACACCATGTCGCTTACGCCTCAACCCGGCTTCACTTGCTTATAGCAGTAAAGTACTACCCAAGAATAAATTCTGGTTTACAGCTAGAAATTGTTTTGTTCTTCACTCGTGGGTAAAGATCTGACTGAAGGGTAATTTTTAAGTCACTAGAGTTTGACTGAAAGAATCTGCACCCTGTCAACGAACCTGGTTTCTGGTCTGAACTGCAAGGCAACAGTTGTAAAGGTCTGAACTGATGGAAGTAAAGAATGTAGTTCGTCTGAACATTGTCCATAGAAGTAGCGATAGGACAGCGTTAGGCTTCCAATGTTTCAACTGTGGTAAAGGGGGGGCTGTAGAGTTGAAAAATTCATCACCCATAAGTCTGCAGCTACATTACATAGAAACTAATTATCATGTACGATTTTCATGACTTAATTATGTCTTGTATTCATAGCATATATATGTATCTATTCACACTGTATCTTTATATGAGCCAGATTAGACCAATATTTGGGCTGGAGCTCTACAGTTGTCACTTGCCTGTCTTGATAGAGTTCAAAAGCGTATATGTGGCCTTGTGGATAATGGATTATTTTGCTATTTACGTGACTATTTCCTCTGACCCATCCCCCCTGACCTTTACAACTGGGACTCACCATGCTGCGTGCACAAGGGGGGGGGTCAATCACACCCGTTCTTCTTCGTATTTCATTAGTATGAAGTAAGTTCCATTCCGACAGCTTCTTCCCAAGTTGGATGAACATGATATATATATATATATATATATATATATATATATATATATATATATATATATATATGCGTGCGCGTGTGTGTGTATGTGTGTGTGTGTGTGTGTGTGTGTGCAGGGTGTCACAAAATTGTATGCACATTTTGAAGCTTTCTGAAGAAACAATTCAAGCAACTAGAACCAACTATATGTAATTTAAATAATGCATATTTCAAATTGATGTCTGTTATGATCCAGACATTGCTGACAACGTAACGCAATGGATTCACAAGCAACAATTAACATTTCGATTGGAATTTGGCTTCATTCTTGCATTCTTGCTCTATGGAAACTTTTATTTCAGTGATTGTTGCTGGGTTTGTAGTGTAGACTTTGTCTTGTAAATATCCCCACAAGAAAAAGTCTAAAGGGGTGAGGTTCAGTGAATGAGGAGTGCATTCTGCAGAACCCCATCTGTCTGTCAAGATTTCATTCAGGTAGGATCAGAAATCCCGATGGTAGTGGGTTTCCTCATCTCCCAAAACTTCTCTAATTCTTGGAATTATAGATTGTTTCAGCATACCTAAAAATGTGTAAAAGTGTGTATACTGAGACACGCTATATATATATATATATATATATATATATATATATATATATATGATAAAATATAGTTTTAAGGTATGCTATATTTATGGGTTAAAGTGTATCTATCAAGGATAGAGCGTATGTAAATATAAAAATGGACATTGGGGACAACACCCAGAGATGAGTCTGTGCCATGCTAAACGTAATCGTCAGGCTATATATATATATATATATATATATATATAGAGAGATATAGAGAGAGAGAGAGAGAGAGAGAGAGAAATAGATATAGATAGATAGATATGGGTATAATAAAAACATACATATACGCAAATATTCTTGCACGTACTTATATATTTCTTTTTCAGGTGTTATAGAAACAGTGTTCAATGTTAAATAACAGAGCTATTAAGCATATATTAGTGATTATACATAATATCGAACGTCAATAGAACGACTCGGAGTTTCATGTAGATGTGCAATCTTCAGGTACGGAATACAGAATGTATTCTGTATCTGAAGCATATAAACAAGCAGGGGAAGAACATTTGAAAAAAAAAAGTTGGCTTGAAGATAAAGAGGCTGCCGTAATATTTAATAAAACTTGTTTTGAATTACATTTTTGGGTTCTAATGAACCCGAAGAATGAAATGATATTATTTTTTATATTTAAGCACGATAGCATCTGACAGCGTCAACAATGTTAAGAATTTACATGGACCGATTTCATAGAAAAAAAATTAACTGATATGTCTTTAATCTTTATAATTTCGCCTTAGAAGAGACGCTAAAACCTAGCAACGGAAACAGACTCGGGGGAGACGTGGCCTTCAGAGTATGCCTCCAATGTTTTTTGGTCACTTTATGAGACTCGAGGTAGAGATTTGGCAAAGCCAGAAGACGTCACGGTGGGCTGTCATCCCTATTGCAATTAAAGAACGATGGTTAGAATCCAATTGACTTGATGAGGTTAATGTCGTACTGTTTAGTAAGCACTTTGAACCAGAATTTGTTTTAATGACAATTATCGTTCCCACTATTTTCAGTATCATCTGAAAATTGTCGTGAAACACTATTAAGTTCATTGCTTGATAACGAAACATCAAAGATATTTCCCGTGAGATATCGCATCCGTATTTAAGAAAAAGACAGATCTAACTGATATGAGTTGGGGAGAGGTCTCTATAAGTAATCGTTGGTATTGTGGTCTGGGAATACACTTGAAGCATTACTGGGATGAAATTCGCAGTAGGGTAAAGTATATATTGAATGGAAGCTGATTAAGAAAAAGAACAGAAACGATGCCTCGTCTCACAAACCTGTGTTTGCCTCAATCTCGTCTGGAACGTTTGACTTGTGGACCTTAAATCGACTAATCGCTGATATTTCTTCATTACTGCTTGCCGGAACTGAAATAATAATAATAATGGTAATAATAATAATAATAATAATAATAATAACGGTACCTCCTTATTGATATGGCAGTCCCTGCTGACTGCAATGTATCTTTGAAGATATTCAAAAAGCTGTCAAAATACAAGGACCTTGAAATAGAAATCTCGAAAATGTGGCATATGGGAACATCAATAATCTCTGTTGTAGTTGGAGCCCTAGGACTGGTTGGAAAAGATTGCAGTAGACTAATTGAAGGGATTCCTGGAAGTCCATGCCTCAAGGAGATACAAAAAATTGTTCTGACAAGTACAGCCGACACTTTACGAAGGGCTTTATCTATGTAATTTTTTTTTCTTTTTTTTGTCAGTGGAAAGTGTCATGATGCCATTTCTAACGTTAGGCCCCTGGGCGGTACCCGGAAAGAAATGTTTAAACGCCAGAAATCAAAGAAAATAATAATAATAATATTGTGCAAACCAAAAGGAAAATAAAATAAAAGAGATAAAACGGGAAAATCTAACTGCGGCATAAACAATTACACCGATTTAAATTCTGTCCACTATTTACATTATTCGGACTATTGTCCTCATCTTTGTCGCCATGTTTATCACAACGTTTCGGTCGTTGTACGCTCCGGCCTTCTTCAGGTGGTTGGAATGTTGAACTGAACCCTTTATTTCGCTCATTGGGGTAGACTGTTCAAGTTCCACGTGCCATGTCCAATGGATGTCAGTTATCTCCTGTTAATTTCCCTTTGAAAGTTCTCCACTGCCTTAACCAGGTATTGAACTCACACTCTTTTCCCTCAGGGACACATGGCACAGTGGATAAAGGCATTAGTTTGATCTAGTGACAGGACCCAAAGAGTTCAATACCTGGTTAAGGCAGTGGAGAACTTTCAGAGGGGAATTAGCAGGAGATAACTGACATCCATTAGACATGGTACGTGGAACTAGAACAGTCTACCCCAGTGAACGAAATAAAGGGTTCAGTTCGACATTCCAACCACCTGAAGAAGGCCGGAGCGTACAATGGCCGAAACGTGATAAACATGGCGACAAAGATAAGGGCAATAGTCCGAATAATGTAAATAGTGTACATAATACCTCATCTCAGAAATACAGACAGTTAGATTCTGTCACTGATGAAGATTAATCAAACGGCATTAGGGCAGAATTGTTTGCAAAGAACAGAGTTGAAAGCACTGAAGCGAAAAGCCACACCATTTAAATACTAAGCAGAGTTACTCACACACAGATGTCAGAAAGAGACTGTCCCCCCCCCAAAAAAAAAAATTCATATAACAAAATCCAATAAACATACTGTGCAAAGATATAACGCTGCATTGTTCTCCAGCTATGGGTTAAATTGTCGGACTGTCTGAGTTCTCTCGTCTAGGAGAAAGACAACTCTGAATTAAAACATTTAAGCTCTACAAAGATGGTTAGACGGGGTGGGGTGCATATTCAATATCTTTAAAACAAATGCAAAATAGATTCCAACAACTATCGATAATCTAAACTTGAGAGTGATTACCTCGAATGCTGTTGACACGAACGGGCACTGGGTCCAAGGAAATTGGGCATAGATGAAGAAAGGAGACTTAAAAGAAATACCAGAATCTTTAAAATGTGGTTCATAAGAGTAAGGCTTGAATAATGAATGCAGTTGTACGGTGTAGTGACAAAGAAATGGGCGAATCAATAAGAAAAGTTACAAACCTGTTTGCAAAATACGCAAAAAGCCAGGAAAATTAAAAGTCCCTGAAACGAAATGAGAAACTGACATTAGTTTAAAAACATATATGGAAATATTACTGCTGCGAACACACATGTAATTAAATGGTATGTCACTTACCACTCCATCCGAACATGTAAAAACAGTAATTTTTTTATTTTACCCCAAGCAAGGCGATAATGCCACTAAGACGCAAGGGTCTACTAAGTGTGAAAGAGAACAAAAAATTCTTTTTAGAAGGAACCGGAAATTAAATCTTAAACAGGAAACAAGGGATAAACCTCTATTCCTGTTCAAATGTCCGTGTAGAAGTGTAAACCGGACGATAGGCGAATCTATTTAATCCTATTGAGGAAAAAAGATTTCCTATTGATTGGAACAACTATTTGTTGAAATTTGATATATTTTCTCTCTATAATACAATGTTCTATTTTATTATTAATGAAGAAGCGTGTCAGTAAAATTCAGTCAGATGTGCAGATGGCGCAACGATTAGCGACTAGGGATGAGAAATCAGCGATCTGATTTCGAATTCCGGTCGAGTTGAATAGTCGGGCAAACTAGGCTCTATATTTGTTGTTTGTTAACGCAAAGCCCAGTCAGCTGATTCAATTGATTTGTTTTCTACGACTTACTAAGCTTCTGTAGGTTATTTAAAATCAGAAAATGATTTTAGAATTATAAGAATATTTTGAAGATAATAATTATTTAGTGATACAAGTCTTACTAAGTGACTAATAGCTGGGAGAAGAAGAAGCGGATTAATACCTTGCCCAATGGTATTTTCGCGTAAGTGAATATTATGAATCCAACTGGAATTGAAATTCTGCTCTCTGAGTTATGTCCTTACCCAACCGAAACGCATAAACCACACACACATTTTACACTTAATGAACCATCTCTCTTTCAACCTCGCTAATAATATAATACATTAACTCCCCCTCTCTCTTTCAATCTGTAATAGTAGTCACTGACTACAAAAAAAAAAAAAAAAAAAAAAAATAGGCCAGACAGGCTTACCCCAGTAACAGATCCTAATGGAAGCTAAAATGGATTCTCACATGTGCAGAATCACGTGACCAAAGTACGAACATTGAGCGGGAAATATTAGAAGAATAGCAGTTGGGGCAACGATCTCGTGGGAGATGGACGATCCATGAAGCCGTCATGCGAATGGATTTTCAGAACTGAAGTGAAGGAATGCCGTCCCCAACCCACACAAACTTTCAGCAGAAAATAAACTGGGAACCGAGTCTTGCGTGAACAACATCTCTTCTTTTTTTAAGGAAATCACACGATGAAAGCGAATTCCAATTCAACTCAACACACTATGCTGCTTACATCAAATGCATAGGTGAATTTCTAAGCGTGACAGTCACTTAAGACAGGCATGTGTGATTAAGAATTCTGAGTCATTATGCATTAGACAACTCGCAATCAAAGCTTACAGCACCGGGTATTCCCAAGCAGTCACCCATCTAGTTACTAATCAGGCTCACTAGCTAGCTGAAGCTGATAGCAAGACATGGGCTTTCAAGCATTATGTCTGTGAAACAAAAACACAATAGATATCAACAGTTATGGATTATTTCACTTGAAAATGAATATCCAGAATTGTGTTGAAAACAAGGAAGGTGGAGTGGCATGGTTAAGTAGAAAGAAAGATATTTATATTGAAAAATAAATAATAGGCATTCGTTAATCTCGCGAAATAAAGGAGGTATCCTGTTTGGTCAAAATCCAGTCCTTTGGTGGTGAAACTGGAGTGACCTCGACAGGGTGCAGGTGATGGTTTATGGAGACCGTTCACTGCTCAGACCACCTCTCGGTCGTAACGACAAGATCCAAAGGAATACAGGGCAATATATTTGGTGACGGCTTGACTGCAGGAGTTGCTGAAAAGCCGTCAGTTTTGACAGCCGACCACCTTCGGAGCATCACTCCGGCTTATCTGCCTGAATTTACTTCCGTTGCCTTTTCCGTGTTTGGATATGACCGCATTGCAGCGGAGATTTTAAAATCAGGGTTTTCCTTTCCCTAGATGGACTGCCTTCTCTGTCGAACTCCATGTACACGAATCAGCTGGTTATGAGGCGTCAGTTCTTCGCCTTCGCCCATCTTCGGCTTGGAACTGGACTTTGTTGTCAGAGGCTATTTGAGACGCATTTTATAGACGGTGGGAGCTTGTCCACACTATCAACCCGGATATTACAACTTTTGGTACATATATAATGTACGTATATATACATTATACAAAAAAAAAAAAAAATTAACGGTTTTTAAATATATAAAACGTTAAGTAAGCAAAAACACTAGAAAGCGAGAATGAATATCTGGATTTGCTATATAAATGCACCTCTCCAAGAAATAAGCACTTTTTGTAATTATTTTTTTCTTTCATATTACTATCGATTGAGCATCTCAGATCATGAATATTAATTTTTTCAAGTTTTTAAGAGGAGTTCACTTTGCTCTGTAAATTCATTGTAAATTGAACTCTCTATTGAAGCACCCCAAGTCATACCACGTGATAACATATTCTTACTTACGTTACAAATGATCAAATACTTTTACGTAAAAAGAAAAAGTTAATATTTATATTATTTAAACACACTTACTTAACCTTTCTTATGTTGTGTTAAAATAATACTTATATAGAAAAATTCAAATAATTTCAAAACAACCGCGAAATATGAATTTAAAGCATATTCATATTTTTGCGTTATTATTATTATTATTTAGTTATTTATTTGGCTTCCATTGGGGATCAATTTACAATGAATTTACAATGCAAACTGAACTCTCTTCTTAAAATTTAGAAAATTCATTTTTTTATATTCGTGATCTTGTGTGCTTATAGCAATATGAAAAAAATTAAATTAAATTGATTATTTCTTGGAAAAGCGCGTTTCTGTGAAAAGGCCGAAAATCTTAAAATATGTTGCAAGATTTACTGTTATTAGGAATCGGTAAGATTGACTAACCTGTAATGAGTTAATTATAGTGAAGAGATATTGCAAAACTATGGTGTCTTCGTGTACTGCGAATATTCCAATTATCCACGTAATGCCAAATACTGGAGTTGTAAGACATAGAGCCTGCGCCCCGGATCTGAAGAAATAAAAATAATATTCAAAGAATGGTAATAAAAGCTATATAAAAGTATTTATATACCAAGCATATAGTAAGTAAGTGAATGACAAAACGAAAAAAAAAAAAAAACTTCTTTATGGGGTGTTTTGTCACGAGAAAGAACTTATTCCGATTAATAATGGTTTTATAGATGATAAAATATAGTTTTAAGGTATGCAATATTTATGGGTTAAAGTATTCAATGTCATGGATAGAGTGTCTGTAAATATAAAAGCGGAGACTGAAGTCTATAACCAGAGGCGTATCCACAGAGAAATAAAAGAAAACGTAGTAATAACAACCAACGATAAAATAATAATAAATGAAGAAGTTAACAACATTATAAATAGTCCCAAAACTGCTTTCGTATCTACAATTATTCCCCCTCAATAGACCTTAGAATAATTCGAAACAGAATCGTTACCGCCCAGCAAAGCAATTCATAATGCAACACAATAGACTACCCACAATGCATCATTAACCTGTGTATATAACCTATATATATATATATATATATATATAGTCGAGAAAAACACAACACACATGGTCTGACGATTGCGTTTAGCATGAAACAGACTATCTCTGGCTGTTGACTTCTATAACCTCTTATATATATATATATATATATATATATAGTTTTAAGGTGTGCTATATTTATGGGATAAAGTGCTCAATATCGGGGATAGAGCGTATGTAAATATAAATGTGAACATTGAAGTTAACTCAGAGGCGACAGTCTGTTTCTAGCATGAAACAGCCTGTCACCTCTGAGTGTTGACTTCAATATTCACATATATATATATATATATATATATATATATATATATATATATATATATATATATATATGAAATTGCTACTCAATATCTGCTTATTTTTCTGATTATATTCTGAAATATTGTAATTATTTACATTGTTCGGTCTTCCTCCTTATTGCCATATTCATGATGTTTCGGACGTTGTACGCTCCACCCTTCTTCATGTCATTGGAATCGAACTGAACCCTTTATTTCGTTCAACGGGGCAGATTGTTCTAGTTCCACGTGCCATGCCTCTTCCAGATGTCTCAGTTATCTCCCTTTAACTCAACTATCCAAGGACACCTGGCCCAGTGAATAAAAGCGTTGACTGGAGCCAGTGATTTCTCAAAGAGTTGTGTGTTCAATACCTGGTTACTGCAGTAGTGAACAAAAACAATATAACTAATAATGGCTACTCATTTTCGAGTATACCCGTCTGCTACGGTAACAACAAGATCCCTATGGCTTACGCTCGCTCAGACACATTTGTGTTTCTTCAACAGCCGCAGAGCCAATCTTATTACCTTAGCTTTATACTGCAATTGTACTGAGCGAACCGTAGTTATATTTTCTTTGTGAGAGTGCATACTCTGGCGTGATCAGTAGTTGAACAAAGCCAGTACGCTCAAATACTCGGTCACAATGACTTGTGACTTTGTTCTAACCCAAACATAGAGCGCTTCCGAACAGTTTCGTTTACTCAATTTCACTCACAAGACGTAAGACAACTCTTGATAGTTTTTCAAAAACTTTTCAACAGTGTCGCAACTTCTCCCCAGGTCGATATTATCAACAGGTCTCCTCTCTTAAACAAATCCACCACAGTGAGATTCGAATGTGTGTCCTATATATATATATATATATATATATATATCCTATATATATATATATATATATATATATATATATATATATATATATCGGTGTAAGAGCAAAATTGTCCAAATCGTGTAACAGCATAATTGCTCATCCCACAAAATGTTTAATATCTAAAAAAGGCAATAAAATTATTCAGTTTCTTTTCCCAGGTTTTAAGATAAGACGTTTAGCCATCTTATTTATCGTAAGAATCACTGAAAAACACTTTGAGTTATTCATCTAGAAAGAGAATATCGTTTTGTGTCAGTCCCACGATGTCTTCCCAACTGAGCAATGGTAAGAAGAAAAAGATCATTCAGGCTTTCAGTAATGGTACCAACATTCATACTCTGGTTTCCATTTTAAAAATCTAGTCAAGAACCATTAAGGGAACAGCGAATAAGAGGGAATAATAGAGAGGAAAACTGGATCAGTTGGTCACAATAGCAAGAGGGATCATCTTTTTAACTTCGAGCTAAAGTGATCAATTAGAAAAGAGCCAACTCAATCCATAAGACATTTGGCAAGTAAGAGAGGAATTTCACTTATGTCAAATGAAACCGTACGGGAAACCTGTGCGGCACCTTATTATTCCAGGGCAGAAAGTTAAAAGGTTAGGGAGGACGAAGATCATTTTGAATAAATCCTGGAATAATATATATATATATATATATATATATATATATATATATATATATATATATATATATAATTGAACTTTATTTTAATGCTTCATGAGCTTTCGATCCTAAACTATGATCGATTTCATCACGATTCTTCTGCTAAGCTTGGAGAGTAATTATACATTCTTATTGTTCAAAGTAGAGTCCAATAGTTTTATAAGAACCTTGAAGAATTCCATTAAGATATCTTTAAGCATTTCTAAGATACAACGGTTCATAGCTTAATTTAACAAACGGACAATTTTGCTTTCACACGATTTATATATATATTGCCAACCGAACGATCCTTTGTGGCCGAGTGGTCAGGTTATATGACGGTTCCGTATAGGATACAGGTTCGAATCAGGCCGGTAAATGTTATTTAATACTGTTTATTAGAAACAGAGCAGTTACTTAAATACTTGTATCTATAAAAAGAATGTTAAACATAAAAATGTCTTTATATATACACTTCAGTTTAAAACCATAAAAAGTATATATCAACAATACCAATTTCATTGTACCTACACATTTTAACCAATCGGACCATCGCATTAATAACGTTAAATGGGTCCTTTTATCATCTTCATTAAAATGGCAAAAAGAATGCCGAAAGTCTGAGTTGAAATACATTTTTAACATAAATTCACACATGAGAAAAATAATAGTAAAAAAAATTGAAAATATCTATAAATTTGTACATCATGGGTGTTTAGTAGGTTTCTCTGTGAGTGTGTGGTATTTTGGTAAATGTAGGATTCGGAGAAGAGGGATATGCTCTTGTGGTGAATGAGTAAATTGTAACGAATGAATGGTTCGCGAATCAGATTAGATCTGGTTTAGGATAGTCAGTAACGACCAGACTCACCCAACTTCCCTTCAGCATTGTACTAAAATTGTATGTAAAAGTACTATAAATATTCTTATTCTAGTTTTAAACAGGAATTTAAGTATATTAAAAAAATACAGTTTCCACAAAAAGCCTTCTACAAATCCTCTACAGCCCCAATCATGGCAAACAACTAGTCCAAAACTATTAGCTAAGTAATATAACATACGCAGAAAAAAACAACCCCCCCCCGAAAAAACAAACAAATTCACCCCGCAAAAAAAAAGATCCCCTTCATTTTCTATTTCTTGACTCATTGATAAAGGACCCAGGCGTGTCAATAAATTCCAATTTTTAACATCTTTCTCATCATGCTTCCATTTGGTCAAAAGGCTGACTAATATACTATAAATAATATCATTAGCCTTATTATCAATATTATGATTTTTGTTATGTTTTTGTCTAGAATTTCTTTCACTGACCTATTATATCTACATATTATAAGAAGTATACGTGGACAATATTTCTTTACTATATATATTGTGTTGTGCTAGTTAATTTTTCTCTCTAGAATCTATCTTTATATTTATAAGTTTACCATTCGTTCAAGCTTTGAATATTGCTACCACATCTTGTACGGTGCTCCTGGTGTGTATTTAGAGGCTCATGATAAAATCTGAATCTCGGTCAGTGGGCCTTGGTGACGAAGAGGAAAAAACTAGACTCAATATAGCGCAGCTACTCGTAATTCCTGTGGTGATGCTCATCCAAACATACATAACCCACCAGAACCAGCCTCAAGAGCAACGCCTTCATTCACTAAGCCGCCCCCTCCAGAGCCTTAGAAGCTGAATCAAGCATAGCTGTATAACTGATAGAATTTTTTCTATTTGAGATTTGAATAAATTCTCATAATAATTCATTCGTACAGTGTAAAGATGAAATAAAAAATGTTAAAAAACGGGAAAATACCAGGACCTCATTCGGAAAATATCTGTGTATATATATATATATATATATATATATATATATAGAGAGAGAGAGAGAGAGAGAGAGATAGAGGGTGTTCCAATAACTTGGACCGATTTTAAATGTGAATTACGTTTAAGCGTTTAATGATTTTTTTTCTTTTTCTTTCAGATTTGGCGGACATTTGGGCGATATTATTTTTCACACATAATTGCCATGATGTAAATTACATGATCGAATAGACAAATAATTTTTTACGAATAACACTAATTTATTTACTACTGACATTAATCCGTCTTAATGAAACACTCTTATATATAATTCTGCTTAATGAAACACCTATATATATATATATATATATATATATATATATATATATATATATATATATATATATATATGATAAAACACGCCTTAAATATACAAATATCACGAGAATGTGTCAATCCTATTCATATTCTTGACTTACTTTATTTTTTCTCTTTCGGATTTATTTCTTATCGTTGTACTAGTCATAGACGTCCGGAAAAGATAAATCAGAATAATGGTGTTGATCTGAAACATTAAAAGAAACGAATTTAAAGAACAATCGACAAGATGAAAAATCTTGTTCTGCATTTTAGATGATGTTAGTGGGTGTCCCTTCGAAACAATTTACTTTAAACGCAAAATAACAAAACGCCTTTGTGGTGAAAAAAAAAGAATAGATATTCAATCATAAAGGAATGATGTAAGCTTTCTTAAAAGGAATATAAAACAGACATGACAGGCCAGGGACAATTATATACAGGAAATTGTGCCCACAAATTCAGTTCGGTCAGAGATTATTATGAAAATAGAAAAAGAGACTTTAATATCCAAACCAGTCAAAACAAGAAAACTAATTTGACATTATAAATAGTCAAAAGTGTTCGTATAGAGTAAAGATGAAATAAAAAATGTTAAAAAATGGGAAAATACCAGGACCCCATTCGGGAAATTGAGAAAATTTTATAGCATTAAAGTTAGAGTACTGCCTATAATAACTGGGACACTGAAAGAATGTGCGGGTTGTGTAATGGATAATGGTTCAAAATTAGAAATCGGAAAGCCGAGTTCGAATTCCAGTTGTGTTCATTACATTCACTTACTCGCAAATAATATTGGGATTGGTGTAAATTAGTTACCTCCTCTGAATTTTCGATACTTAAGATTTAAAATGAATTTAAAAAAATGAAAAACATTCTTGAAGATTTCATTTTAGCTTTAATTGAAAGCCAAATGATTAAATTTACTATTTCCAATAAATAAAATATTCTGGTATATTTTAAATAGAAATTATATAGATTGGAATGTCACTTATTTACTCGTTTTCAAGAAATCTTATGAGCGGCCATTTTCTTAGTTTTAAGTAATTTGTAAACAAAACAAAATTATCGGTTTTAAAAATCTTCCAAAAATAAAATATGTATTTGTGACACGTTATTTGAGTAAAATTAGCAAGTTTAAAGTTAGATTAATCTGATTTGAAATAAACATTACTTATTATAGCTTAAAAATTAATATCTTAACGACGGGTCCTGTATTTCTTTTATCTTTAATGATGGATCGTTAAGTTCCGAGTATGGATGACCAGAATTGACATAAATATACGAAATCTAAGTGAACGCGTCTTTTTTTTTATGTTTTTAACAACCTAGTAATTTTTTATAAATTAACATATTTTCAGTAATTATCTAATATTTTATTGAGTTACGTTTGAAGATGCTTTATGAAAAAATAATAAAATTTAAGATACTATAACTTTACCATAAATTAATTTTAAAATTTAATAACAGATGAAATTAAAATACAAATAAGGAAGCAAGAAAATTAACACATTGATGAGGAAGTTCTTTTCATTAATAGTTAATAAACTTTAATTAACATTAGCTATAAAAACATTTTTTCCGGTTTCTTCAATGCAAAAATTGTGAACACTCGTTGTTGAAAACTATTCAAAATTAATAAAAAAAATGAGAAAACTGATTTCAAATTTGAATGAAATATAGTACTAAATAATTAAATTAGTTTTAAACATTAGTTTTAAAATTAAAAATAATGATAAATAAGGAATAACAAAGCGCAGACAAACGCATTTCCCTGTAAAGGGAAAAATCTCTTAGAGCACATGATCTTTTCATAATAATGCCATATTTAAGCTACCATAGATGAAAAAAAAAGGAACGATTAAAGTAAAAAGATAAAAAATTATTTTAAAAATATAATTGTATAACGACGTTTATTAAGCTTTTCAATTTTGGATTCGTAAATTTCGTTACCACTTCATTAGAATATCACATAGAAGAAAGAAAGTAATAAAGAATTTTAAACTGTTTTTAAATTATTATAAATTATTGTAATTAAAATAAAAAAAAAATGAAAAAATTCTTGTAAAAATTCATTATTCATCGAAAATCTATTTCTTAAGACAATAGTATCCTTAATATAACTTATTTACAAGATCAATTAAAAGCTTTTCTAATTAAGTAATGTCATAGTTTGAATACATTTTTTTAGTTTACCATTCGGAGCAGATTTTCAGTAAAAACACTAAAAGTTTGAAAAAGAAAATTGTATGATTTACATTCTCCAAGAAGTCCAACTTTTAACTAATAAAAATTCTGGAAAGAAAAATTAATTTCGCGAAGTGGAGGGGGCAAAACACACACACACACACACACACACACACACACACACACACACACACACACACACACACACGGAATAAAGCGCAATAAACACTCACTATAAAAATTAAATTTGGCGCTGACGTAAAAAGGAAAAACAAACAAAATAAGAATTTTTAACTAAAATTTCGACTGTGTTAGAAAGGTTTAAATTTTTTTAAAAAATAATTGTAAAAAATAATTCAATCTTTTCTCTTATTAATAACATAAACATTTTGACAATAAAACTTTGTTTTTATTAAGTTTATGGCTTTTTTTCATCATGCTATGCTGTTTTTTCAGCGAACAAGTGGAGGTACCTAGTATAAATCCATCTCTACCCTCAGATATGGGTTAAATAGCAGGACTTGTACCTGGAAAAATCATTGTTATTCTAAAAAAAAAAAAATTTTAAAGCAAGATCCACTTTAAAAAAAAATGAATAATTCTTACAATTGAAAGTATTCTTCGGATTAAATAACCTTTCAAAAGAGTTGGTAAGCCGTAAAAAGAGAAAAAGAAAAAAAAAACTTATAACCGTGCTACAAACACCAGAATTAAAGACTGGTAAACTAAAGAATCTCAGAATGACTAAGATTGCTTAACCTACAGCGTTGTTGGGATTTACGAGACTATTGTGGAAGGTGCTGGATATCTGAGGAGATATGTTGTCACGCAATTTCCAATGATAATAACAGTTTATAATACGTACCACAATCACCAGAATTATTGGACCGATGAACGCATAAATGACCGCGTTCTCTACAGACAACCAACAACTGAAAGATCGAAAAATAATCATTTGAAATCCTTATATAGGGTTAAGTTCCAATTACTGGGCAACTCTTACAATAGTATCTTTAGAATAATAACATTTCAAATTATTATTAATTTTCAGCTAGTATTTTTTGTTTTATTTTCAGTTATGATTTATATTATTTTCAGACATTATTTTTAGTCATATTATCATTTTCGAAAGCCTGTTAAATTTTTGCCTTGGCTTCTATGAGTCGGAAATTCTTCAGGTCCCAACGCTGAATCACAGACTGAATGAACGGCAGGCACTTGTTTTTAGATTTTTTTTTACTACCTTTATTTCATGGGCTACAGTAATGATAACACCGTTTCTTGCAAGAAGCGAGAGGGAGATAGAGAGTACGGATTTCAATATCATCACGTGATGGCATGTCTCATTAAAGAATTTGGGAACGGTGAGACGTTTTCACGCTTACATTCTCGAAATCATACTCACTGTCTTCACACGTTTTTCCATCTTATATCAAAACTTAAGCAAAGACAATCCATCATTACCACCTACACTCATTTCGGGTCGTCAGAATTCTGACCAGTCCAGTAAAGTTTGCCGTTTTGAGCCATACAATGCATTTTGTAACAAATCGCCATTCTATGACCATAAGTAGACAGTACAGACTGAAAATAAAGAGTAATGAATTCTGTTTGAAAATAAAGAATGGGGTAAAGTTGCTCCCATAATTTTAAACGAACAAAAGCGATGTTTTAATACTAATGTTTACTCAATAGATAGCTCAAGATCGACTGAAGATAGAGAGCTATTGTTAAAATGGCTACCATGAATGAGATGTGTGACATTATTGAAAGAGTAGGTAGTAGAAAGTAATGATTATGAGGATAAGGAGGATAGATAACGCATTTGAGTTAATGAATATAGAGTTCAGAGAAGCATAGACGCGAGAATCTATTCCGAAAATTAGCAGTTTGAAATGAGTGTCATTTGACTCTATGGAAGTGGTATGGTGTGTCTGAAACTGTAAAGATCTGAACTGATGGAACTAATGAATATATCTCGTCTGCGAATTTGCCACGGATTGCGACATTGCATCTCTGGAAAAGGGTCTGTTGGGTGCAGAATATGTCTTCGCCACACAGGACCGCAGATAAATTTAATTCTTTTAATTTAAACCGCAGTGACACCATGTACAAATTATTAGTATAATTACCAACACAATTATTATTATTATTAGTAGTAGTAGTAGCAGTATTATTATTAATAGTATTAGTAGAACAAACAATCGTAGTGACAGACGAAGACTAATATTATTTTATGATCAACATATAATTTTATACATTATTTACATTGTTCGGACTATCATTCTCATCTTTGTTGCCATATTTATCACAACGTTTCGGCCGTTGTACGCTCCGGCCTTTTTCAGGTGGTTGGAATGTCGAACTGAACCCTTTATTTCGCTCGCTGGGGTAGACTGTTCTAGTTCCACGTGCCAGATCTAATGGATGTCAGTTATCAGTTATCTCCTGTTAATTCACCTCTCAAAGTTCTTCACTGCCTTAACCAGGCATTGAACTCGCACATTTTGGGTCCTGTCACTGGATCTAACTAACGCCTTTATCCACTGTGCCATATATAGCAACAAAGATGAGGACAATAGTCCGAATAATGTAAATAGTGTTACTTTAATAATCAGATTATTCGTCTGTTGGTAGATACTAGTATGTTTGCTATATATTAGTCACTATTATATTTCAGGAATGTACACTTTGAAGAATAAATATTTACGGGCTCCTGTAAAATTTATCCGACGAATAATATTGGCGGACTCAGTGTGAGTCCAAGTAAAAAAATGATGACGAAAAACAATAAATATAAAAATGGCAATGCATGTATTAACACAAGAAACACAAACACACACACACACACACACACACACACACACACACACACACACACACACACACACACACACACACAAAAACCATGAAATTAAAGTATAATAAGAATGTGGTTGGTCGTGTGTGTGTGTAACAAGTGTGTGTGTGAGAGATTACAAAAGTAAAGAGAGAAAACCATGAAAATATATGTGCCCCCGTGGGGGACACTTTACCCACGTGCGACTAGATCGGAAAGCCGGTGCTAAAAGATGTAAAAGAGGCTAGGGAGAGAAATGCACACCTTTTTATAGGATTAAGGAGCGCCCCCTTAGCGATTATTTTTTTGGCAAGGTCAAGTGGGATCACCCACACATCGTAAAAAGTTTTGATAAAAGAAACAATAAAATTAAAAAAAGTGTTATTAGAGATTATTATTATTATTAATAATAATAATAATAAATGATAGTTTGATATTGCAATAAAAACTGTTATTATTATTATTATTAGTAGTAGTAGTAGTAGCAGTAGTAGTATCTTAAAGAATATGGTTACTTACTAGGTATCATTTCCGTAACCTTCAGTCTGCGTGACACCAAGGGAAATAGCAACAATTATTGCAGGACACACTAAAAATACATTTAAAAATCTTTTAAGTGGTTTCTGAGAGTTCAAATTCTTTTTTCTTTATTGATAAGTGCGATTGCTTAAAGTTGGTTACTTTTTAACTCTTCAGCTAAAGGTAAAGAATAACGTTTCTCCCCACCCAGCAATATCATTTCAAAACTGGAAACGGTGAGATGAGTTCAAATTAGGGACTTGTTTGTTGCATTCACATTTACGCAAATATCTTTAGGAAAGACATGAACAGGTCTCTTCTCATCCCAGCTAGTGGTTAATGTCATGGCAGACTGGGTTCTATATCCGTGGTTAGCAACCAGTCTAGGAGAAGGACAAGACTGAATTCAAAACCGGTTAAGTGTGTGTATGGGGGGAGGGGCTAGCAACCCATTCCTTGAAAAACTTACTTGCTTCATAAGCCCCAACAGCAACGTCTAGTGGGGTTAAGCCGCGGTCCTAGTGTGGTCAAGTTGCGACCTTATACAACCCTGGGAGTCGACAGGGTTAATATTTACATTTTCTAAATTGATTTCTTCATCATCGCTGTTTTTAATGCAACGTTTCAAGGCAACGTTTGACATTCGTATTCAGAAAAAAAAATGGAGTACCAGAAGGCGTTTTTTTTTTTTTTTGCCCTTGAAACAGGATTTATGCATTCGCTTTTTTCATTTATTTCTTTTGATAAGAAAAGTATTAAACATTATTCTTGTAAATAAACAGTTTAATAAACAGTATTTAACATTTTTGTTGTCAGTTCTTGAGAAAAAAAAATATAAATCCAAATGGTCACAAACTATTCTAGTGAATTTATGTGACGAGAGCAAATGAAAGAAATACGTAGTTAATACATTTTTTACATTTATAATTACATTTACTCGTAGTTATAGTTTTTTTTTTATGTACACTTGGTGAAACATTTCTATAAATTTATGAATAAAAATTGTTTTTCTTTAATATATAGTATAATGATAAATATTGTACTGGAATTGGTTCTCATATTTTTTTATATAAACTTGTAGATATAAATTTATTGTAAATAGACAATGTAATAAAATAAATAGTGTTTAACATTTTTGTTGTCACTTCTCACGAATTCTCGGTTTACCGATTTCATTTTTCACGTCGTTTACTGTTTGGCCACCGGTACCACCTCATCCAGAATGCGGCATAAGGTCTTTTTAAGCTATGGGAGCCATGCATACATGAACCCAAATTTTCAAAAATAATCCATTTCTCTCGGGACTTTGCCCTTATCGGGGAGGCATCTGGCGTCAAGTAATGATCCTTGTACTCACCCAAAGAAGAGGTATTACCTGGAAAGGCGGCTCTCTGATACTATTAAGATGTTAATATAACCATTCAAAAAGGAACAATAAAATGAAATCTTTTTACAACTTTTGTTCTATCCATTTGGCTATTCTGGGTAGCGATTTTTGCACATGGTTCAATCCATTTTTTTGAAACGAGACTTTACGATGAAAACAGATTCTTTTTTTCATACTGAAATACTTACACCAGGAAAGAACGAGCATCAGAGGCAGCCTGTTGAATGTCTTTGTGAACACGGTGTGTATAGTCACGGCCATATCAATGGCGTAGACGAGAATACAGAAGAACAGGGAAAGACAGAAAAAGTGAAGGAATGCAGCCACAACCGTACAAGCAACCTGAAATAAAAGAAAGCAACAAAATCCATATTAATATTGGACTGTAGGACTTCTAATGAAGAGAATTAATCATGTTCCGTCGTTTATTAGAAAGGTTCGGCTAGATAATTGATATAGCTATGCTGACACATCCGGGTCTGCAATCGCGGAACAACTTACAAAAAATCGAGAATATGGTGGACATGTTTCTCTATCTTGCGCAGTACTAGATTTACGGCAAGGTCTCATCATTTTACAGTTGAAATAGCCAGATTTAACCATAATTTCTATGCTACCAGTTTCCTCTATCGCACCTCGCGCTTGTGGAACTCTCCCTTTCTTGCTTCTCAGTCAATTTTGATCTTCAAAAATTAAAATGCAGTGTCACTTGTTATCTCCTGTCTTCTTAATTCTTGTTATTTTATTGTTCTCTCTTATTAATAGTAGTTTTTGTCATATTCTCTAACTCCTTGCGTTCTAGTGGTTTTATTGTCTTGCTTGGTGTGAAATGCTTTAAAAAAATCGTATTTTAGCTAGCATCTAAAAGTCCTAGAAACTTTTTTCATTAAATCAAAACCAACTTAGCTGTGTAAACAGAAGCATTGATCGTGTTGTCCTCATCCCAATGTATCATTGATTTTTATTTTTAATAATAATATTTTTTTATTATTAATATATTACTGATGTTTAATATTAATTTTTTACTAATACCGTCAATATGTTATTGAGATGGGTGTATTTTCTTTTATCATATTCTTTTTCATCTATGTGCACAGTAATTTTATTTATTTCGATCGAGCTTTGGTGGGTGATGCATGATAATCTGTGAACTCATTCTATTTTTTTCCCTTTTCTTTTGTCTTTTTATTTGCGTACTAATTACACTACCTGTTTTCTTTCCTTTCTCGACGTTTTTTTTTAGTTACTTCTGTTTTTAACGCTGTAATATAAATTCGTTCCTCTAAGAGCTGGTAATATACAACAATTAGTATCAGAAATAAGTTATAGTAAGTATATTATATTTACTAAGTGTTGATGAATTTTGGGAATTACAAAATCAAGACATTAGCGAATTTGTCCACGAAACAAACTTCATGATGTTTCATCTATAGTTGGCGGTATCAGAAATAATCTACGTTATTTCTTTTCTCCAGTTACTGTAAAAAAGACTCTTTATCCCGTAGGTTAAACGGGTAAGATTTTTAACCACCTCCTTAATCGTTCCAGGACAATTGTTTTCACGATTTATTTACATTATTTACATTCAGACTATTGTCCTCAACTTAGTTATTATTATCACAACTTTTCGGCCGTTGTATCCATCGGCCTTCTTCAGGTGATTTTCGATACGGGGTCACCTTAAGTTGTTGACATTCAACAACAGTTTGAGTAAAAGGTTAGGAAGCAAGCCGCCATCAATAGTGGAAAGAGCAATAACAGCTACTGAACTCGAAAAACGTATTTTCCTGAAATTTTTATTTTTTATTTTTATAAATTTCAACCGACAGTTGTACTAACTGCTCGATTAATGAATGCAGAATGTTTCCTTATAAGGAAACGAGTAATATTAACATTAGCCGTTTAACATTCAAGGAATTTCCCTGCCTTTTTCAGCATCTGCGAATTGTCTTAAATTCAGTTCCGTAAAAAGACGTACGTCAAAGAAATCTCGATCGAGATAAAGAAATTGATCGCGAGATAACTCGTCAGTTTTCTCATATATATCAAGCTTTCGTTCAATGCAATGTATATGAAATTAATGACACGCCAAATACTTAAAGCGTATATAAGTATCAAGCAGATGTCAGAATTTCCAATGTCAAATGATATAGTAAATGATTTCCTATAAGTTTTTTTTCGTCTGTGCTTTTCGCTTAACACTACTACAACTAGGACTATCGCTACCAATTTTCTATGATTACTTATTAAATCGCAGAGAATAGTTTTAGCATATTAGCTTTTGAAAACTCCAGAAGCTGTCAGTGAGCGCGTGGGATTCATTCTACAATGTAAATATTATCTTAAAATAGAACCCTTACTTTGTATCCATCAAGTTAGATAAACCTAGACTTAACATAATATTCAAGACATTTTTCCATTTATCGGATTAGTTTTCTTGTATAATATTGTTTTCATTACCTAATACCGCTTAAATTCTAAGGCTAACACACACACACACACACACGAAAAAAAAAAAAAGAAGAAAATAAAAAGAGTTAAAAAGCGATATTGACAGTTTGACAGTACCGGTCAAATCTGAATATATTCTATGCTAAACTAAACAAAAATTTATTTCTTGAACAAGTCTTTTGAAAATACACCAATAGTAGCAACGTTATATTTAACGAACTACTTAACTACTTTCCAACTTCTTTAAAATACATTGTACAACAAATCCACATATATAAAAAGCATCATATATATATATATATATATATATATATATATATATATGTGTGTGTGTGTGTGTGTGTGTGTGTGTAAAATTTCAAATATAACTAAAATATATATCTGTAAAAGAACAATATGAATAAAGACAAAAGGAAAATTTATCTTAGTCGACGCGTTTCCTCCTATGATTGTCTCGCACAACTGAGTTAGCCGACTTTCTTAGCAGCTGACTTCGCAATGGATTTAATATAGACTTTCCATTTCATGTTAGCTGAGAATGTTAGCCTCAGAAAGCGCAAAGACTAACTTTCCTGGAGGTTATCGTTAGCTACGCTGATGGAAGGCAGAGAGTGGTCTTTCAGATGATTAATGTAGAGAAGTTTAGTCATGGATATTATTTACAAACAGTAAAAATAACGTCTCCGGCCTAGATCATTGAAAGAAAATATCTCCTGTGGAGAGGTACTTGTCCTTTAATAAGAATTTTGATGATCTTGACTAGTAGACGTTAATTTCACTACTTGCATACTCAAACGCGTGTATTCCCTAAGATGGCATTTATAGCAATAAGAAAAAATATATTTATGTGTTTACATATCTGTAACATATTTCTTAGAGCGCATTAAACTAAACCCTATCGCAGGTAGGGCAAGATACGTTGTAAGTTTCACGTGGTGTACCTATACGCGTACAGTTCTCCTAGTTATTGTCGCATAAACGTTAGTGTACTCCGACCCATAAACATTGGTGTAATGGCATAGATACTAAGATAAAATGGATGGATTGCATCTCCAGGCCTAGTTTTATCTTATTTCTAAGCTACGAACTGCTCGCGAGAAGAAACGGTTCAATAACACGGCAAATGTTAGTATTAATCGTTTCCTTATACACACACACACACACACACTATTTATCTTTTACCACGTATATTTACAAAAATATAATGCATCCAATTCCTCAAGCCAAACCAAGAAAGACACAGGAAGATGTTTGCTCCTGGCCTAACAGTTGGTGTTGCTTTCCTCTTCTCTGTGAACCTGACTTTGGCCTCAGAAATCACATATGTGCTGACAGACATTGATTCTGTAACATATTCATCTTCCCTGGGCATCAAGAGATCGCCCTAATACAAAAAATATCTGAAATGGTTGTTCAAATCCAAATTAATTGCACAAGATGTATCCTAAGGAATTATGTATGCCTGCTGTAAGTTTGCAGAAAGTTTGTCTGACTAGATTTTCAAGCTAGGTTGGTGCTTCTGACATGATCTTTTTTTGGTAATGATAAGGATAATATTAACCGTTTCCCTACAAGGAAACATTTGGCATTCATTGACCAAGCAACCATTAATGCTTTCGGTTGAAATTTATAAAATCTTTCTTTTAAAACAATATTCCAGGAAAATAGGTTTCTCAAGTCCAGTCGCTGTTATCGTTCTTTGCAGTACTGATGGAGGTTTCCTTCCTAAACTTTTATTTGAAGTAGTGTTGAATGTCAGCATGTTCGAGTTACATCTTCTATTCATTTCAGCTGTTGCTACTGTTGGTAGTCCTCAAGTGATGAGTTTCCTGTTATTTGGCACAGTTCTTTGTTATTCTGTAGCGCCAGTCCACAGTGTTCAAAGATGGATTGTCTTTACCAAGACCCTCAGGCTTCACTAGTGCGCTCAAAGACCCCTTTTAGCCATTGATCATGGAAAGCGGTTGTATACAGCTGAGAGTTTAAATATTTCTGAGCAGGTTTGACGCCATACATGACATCCATATGAAAATATCGATCTGACGACTTTAGTTAAGAACATGACTAGTTTTCAGGTTGATGTCGTAATGAAGTGTTAAGCGAAACTGCCTTTGGTGCAGCCTATTCCATATTAAATTCCCTTTTCTCAATAAAATAAAACCAGCAGATGATCTGCTCTCACCAACGCCATAGCTTATACAACGTCCCCAATCTCTTGCTTACCAGTATTTAGAGTAAATATATTAAGCACCACAGAATTTGTTATATTGTTATTTGTTATCTGAGGTATTTAAAGAAAACAGAAATTACACTGTGATCTTAATATTTATTACTAAAATTATATAGAAATTCGGTAAACGTGGATGGAAAGAAGACTGGTCATGTAGTCTTAATAAAAATACAACTGTTCACTTATACAACAGAAGACTGAATAATACTCTTTCATTCGTTCCATTAATCTTCCATCTACCACTCAAATTCTGTAGTGCTTAATATATTTACTCTAAATACTGAAAAGCAAGCGATTGGGGGCGTTGTATAATTTGTGGCGTTGGTGAGGGCAGATCATTTGCTGGCTTTATTTTGTTAAGCCGTTCGAACTCTATCGATCTTCTTCTTCTTCTTCTTCTTCTTCTTCTTCTTCTTCTTCTATGTGCAACATTCTTTCAGGGAATGGGCGATCATGGCTCTCCAAATCTTCCTACTTCTTGTGGCCGTCAGCAGTTTTTCTACTTTTGCTAAGGCTTCCGCCCCACCGTTCAGCCATGTATTCACACAAGCTCGTCAGGTCGATGCTTTTCCCTATCTCCCCTGTGAAGGTTAAGTTTGCCAGTACTTCCAACCTCACTATGTCTCCAAAGAATTCCAGATTTTGAGTATAAACATTTTTTTGCCATTTTCTTTAAGCCTTCCTCGTTGCTTAATCGCTCTGTTCATGGAATTCTTAGTATCTTTCTGTAAAACCGCATTTCTATTGACTCCATTTTTCTCTTCATCTGTGGAGAGATTGTCCAGCATCCATTGCCATGTAAGTGAATGGATATCACATAGAAACTCTTTGTTTCTAACGATTTTTGTTCTGATTTGTCAGCACTGCGTAGGTTTTTGGGAATATTTTTAGCTCCCTATTTCGATAGTCGATTCCATATTCGCATTTCATTATCACATTTTCCATCCCCTGTTAAAAACTTTCCACAAAATTAAACTTCTCTGATTGATGTCGATATCTTGATGTTGACTTGATGTTGAATTTGTAAATAGCATCTTGAACGTTTTCCTCTTGCTGATGACCAAACTTTCTGTCTTCTTGCAGTTGATAGTCCTTTTTTCTCGCTTTCTTTTACTACTCCGTCTATACAAGCTACTAAAAACCACTCTAGGTTGACGTCTTTCTTACGTACTAAAGTCCAAGATCTTACTCATTAGTGGAGCGTACAAATAATTGAACTGAGTCAGAAGTACCAAGAAATGTCCTGTCGTCTTTTTACGGCTATCATACTAGTATAATTAGGATGTATTTGTACTCACCTTGTCTACCACTGCCGATTTTATACCAGCCAGAAACAGTGTATAAGCCAAAATAATAGCGACGCACATGTTTATCAGTAGAACTGATTTGGATTTACCTAAACTCGTACTGGCCATTTGCCTAAAAGGAAAAAAAAAATAAAAGAAATGAAAAATACTTTTTTTTATCCCGATATCGTTGATAAAATATTTTCGTTATTAATTTGAACTGGTTTTACTTTATTATTTTTATTGTTTTTTCATCGGCCAGATCGTGTATCCAATCTACGATTATTAAGGAAACAGTTATCGAAATTTGAACCAGCATCCCGTACCCTTTGAAGTCTGTCTGACATGGATAACGCTTTACCGATTTAGAAACGGATATCCATCAGCTCAAATTTAGTCAGTGAGCCTTTTTCTTTTTTTTAATGACGAGTCGGTGTAAACAAACAATATAGCATGGAGAAAATCGGAAGAATATCATAAATTTTTAACATCGTTTTATGTGGCGAAATCTATTGTCAGATAGACTCCCAATGATACTGGATGCGAGTTCGAAAATTGTCGTCGGCTTCTTTATTTTTCGGTTCATACTTGTATAATGTAAAACGTCGCAAACATTGCAATAAAAAACGAGGCTAGAAAGTTATTCTACATTCTCTTCAAGCAGTCAGAAGCGTGTGTGGCATTGGTGTTTCTATGATCGTGAATTTTACATCTAGCCAGGGCATGAGAGAAACACTTTTCTTTTTTTCCTCTTTAGCGGGTGTTGATATATCTACCTGTCATATTGTTATTCACACGCGTGCATGTCCAAGGCTAAGCTGAGTCGAATACTTTTTTTTTTATATGTTAGAGGCTGCCACTCACCGGGTGAAGCACGAATCAGCACTTGGTGTCTAAGGGTGCAAATTCCATTTTTCAAAGATGCTACAAATAATCCTATTAAAATCAGTGATCGGACGCTATGAGGAAGATTAGGTTCGATTTTTTGAGTTGGTGCCAAAAGAATTTAAACATTATTTACTAATTTTTCACAGTCGTCAACAGCTCAGTTCATTCATTATAGTAAGCAAAAAAGAAACGAAAAATGAGTAAATGTATATTACTTACTTCCAAAAAATGATGTAAAGTATCATCGTTAATAGGCAGCAACCAATGGAGATTCCACAACCAATATATGTGATTATGCTCAATGCTTTGCTGTCTTCAGGCTTTGAGAATGAAAAAAAAAAAATGCATTTAGCATGAACCAACTGGGGTTGACTTCAATGTCCACTTTTATATATATATATATATATATATATATATATATATATATATATATATATATATATATATAGTGCGACTACATAAACACTGAACAAAGGTGGATTAATAAGGAAACATTTTCATCAAATCCACACTTAATTCATTGTACAAATAGATTGTACCAAATTCCCCTTACCATAAACGACATATATAGCGAGTTACGCCCCTTGATTTTCATTTTTTTTTCACTGGTACAAAATATAAGCATCAACATGCGGAGAGAGAAACAGTGAATAACTTTTTGAAAAGCTAAGCGGAATCGGTTAAAGTAAAAAACGTTTAAAAAAGGAAAACAACAAATTATTTTTCTAAGACAAAAACACTGAAAATTCAATTGAAAGTAACAATATTTTAATTATTCTCTGTAAAAATTAATATATTATAAATATACAGTGTAACCCGGATGTAAGAGAGTTGTCGGGACCGGAGAAGAAGTCTCTTATATCCGGGTTTCTCTTATATCCGGGTTTGGTCTATTTTGTTTAGGTAAGTATGGCTCTAATTTGGGACCAGAAAAAAATGTCTCTTATATCCGGGTTTCTCTTATATCCGGGTTACACTGTATAATACTATATTAAATATTAGCTGCCTTTTTTCCGTATTCTCATTTTAGTCTATGCAATACGTTGTTGTACAGAATCTTTCTAACAAAAAATAAAATAAAATAAAAATAAAATAAAAAAAAATTATATATATATATATATATATATATATATATATATATATATATATATATGAATAAAAACAAAAGGAAAACTGTTCTCTGACGGACTTTATCAAGCCAAATGTGAGGATTTTATTTTGCAACAAGTATTTATAAACAAAAGTAAGAAAGTTGTTACTTTTTCAAAAGTTTTAAATTGATGAGACGCTCATTATTCATCAGATTAGCTGAAAAGTCAAGATAAACTATGGAGGATGTTGAGTGACATAATTTATTATCTAATAAACTAAAGTGAGTAAATGATGTTGGATTTTTATTTTTATTTTTTTTGGCAATTAATATTTAAATTATTTTAGTATGGGTTGAGTTTATATATTTTATATTGTTTTTTAACCATTTTCTAACAATTTTATAGTTATGTATGTTGGCTTGGAAAAGAAGTAATTCTTTCAGGAATGGAGACATTTGAAAAAATCCGAGGTGCAGATTTATAATTTGATAAGATTCGATAGCTGCACTTTCGAGAATTTTCCGTCGAAGTAAATTACTTTCTCTTTTAATAAGTGTGGCATTCTTTAACAGATCTATACATATATAATGAAAAACGTATCCATAGAAATTATTTACTATTTTATTGCTACTTAATTTTAAACTGACTTACGACCACATCACATTGAAACACCAGTTCCCGTACGATCACCGAAGTTAAGCAACGTCGAGCCTGGTCAGAATCTAGATGGGTTACAGCTTGAAAACGCCAGGTTTTATAAGCAGGTGTGTGGGTGATGCAATGGATAATCGCTGGGAATTGTTAATCGGAAAGCCGAGTTCCAATTCCCGTTAGGTCCTTTATATTCACTTATGCGCAAATACCTCTGGGGAAGGCATAATTTCACTTCCTCTACCACCCAGCTATGGATCAATAGCTAAACAATTATTATGGAGAAAAAATTATAACAATATAAAATCATTTTCTTGTTTTAAATAATCCACAGAGGGTTGAAAGTCGTAAAAAACGAATCAATAAATCAATCAATAATTTTATATTATTTAATACATTTGAAATGATTGGATCGTTGTCAAGGATGACATTGATTGTTTTTATTGCTACTGTCGAGACATCCTGTGTACTACCTTACAACCGTGCAGAATAACGATTGGATACTCGTTTCTGAGTACACCTGCAACAGGGATGAGCTAGCAATACTAGCAGTATTGATAGCTGATCCATGTTGCGGACGCCTACTCAGGCACATTTATGTTTCTTCAATATTCACGGAGGCAACGTTTGGTTTATACTGCAACTATGCCGAACAGACGTTAGTTACAGTTTTTGTGGGAGAATGCATAAACACTCAAACCCTTGGCCATGTTGCCGAGTGACTTCTTAACCTGAGGTTCATGGAGACCCTAGGAGGCCCGTGAGGATCAGATATAAATTAACATTTTTATACGCTTGTCCTAATCAATTGTTTTCCATCAAAAGAATTAAAAGAAAATTCACCTTGCCACTGCTTGAATAAAAACAAACCCATCCACTACTTATGGTGCCAACTGCTAGGCGTCTCTTGACTTGCCATATTTATCATTTAAACGTGTACCAACATTCTCTGCACGACAGCCGTCTTTCGCCACACCATAAGAGCAAGCGATAATTCTCGTTTTTCCACGGTTCATCACGGTTTGATTATCTTCTCATGTGCTGGTGAAGATTAATTGACCACAATTTCTTTAAAGCGTGCATGGCTGAAACCTGATGTGTGTCCAGTGTGGATGAGGTTGCAGTACGGAGAAATGTACGTACAAGTTTTATGAAAACACATTCGAGACTGTCTATGAAGGGCTAGTTCTTATAGGAGTCCGTGACTCAAGTGGTCCGTGACTCAAAAAAAAAAAAAAAAAAAAGAAAAGGTTAGGAATCATTAACCACTTTTACTTATATGGCTTGCTTCAACACCTGGTATGATTTTCAGGCATGTTCCAACATCTCCCCAAAAGCCGATAATATGAAAACGTAAACTCTTTATCTATTTCTAAATATTTTAATATTTGAATTTACTTACTGCGATACTGGTCAACACAGCAAAATTTGTTAAGTGGTAACATTTGCATTGAACCCTTGAGCTATTTGAATTGGCAACTTCGCAACCGTCCTGAGACCAACCACCGGATATAGTACCCCTGTAAAGACAATAAACTAATGACAACGAAGGACATGATATGATTATTTTATTCCACGTTAAGCTAAATATAAACCCGCAATGAGAGATGGCCTAATTGACTACACTGCAGTGTTAAGAAAAGAAAGATTGCTTTTTGTATGTTAAATACAGGTATTATACAGGTATTATACTTGTTGATTATAATTAATTAATTAATTGTTACAGGTATTATACTTGTTGATTATAATTAGTGGGAATGACTGCAAAAAAACAAACTTCCCTCCTTAATTTATAGAAAAAATCAAACACATAGATGCATGCTAGGATATTTCCTAGCCAATAGGATATGTCACTTCTCGGTTTCATCCGACTCAGTTCTGTTCTTTCTTGAGTCAGTCATCTTAAATGAGATTCCTGTAGGATGCAAAATTCTTTTAGAAAACCTTTAAGTGTTGACGCTTTGATTTACGTGTTGTCCTTTTGTCGTATTGTCGCCCGTCTGTATTGTTTGGGAACTCTGGTGCATTTGTGCTGTGTGGTACCCTCGACCGCAATTGCGGAGTCTCTCCAGTAGGCGGTTGGGGAGGAGAAAACCTGCTTCACACAAGTCGTCTTGGGCCTCTAATAGCCAAAACAAAAAGATACCAAACATTTTGAGAGTATGTAGGAGCCATACCGAAATATATCTCGGGCAATGAGCTCCTGACGATGCCATTGATACCTGTCGATATGGATTTGGGCTCTTAATTGGTCGTCTCTCAAGGTGGTCAGCTACCTGGATAGAATGTGAATAGGCTAGATTGCCCCACGTTCAACTGGTTAGACTGTTCAAACGACAAATTCGTTCGTACCCGGATGGCGTTATGAAATTCAACGTACCCTTACTGGATAGATAGGACTTCCAGCTATAGATGACTAGATTAGTGCAGCGGGAATTAGTGGAGGAATCTTAAGGATAGGATTATGTCTTTCATCACAGAATATCGCCATCTAGATAAGGGTAACAAGATGAGGACATTAAAGGAATGTCTGGCTCGAGTGGTGGCTGAGGGATCTCCTAAAATAGACTTAGTTAGGCAGACCGTGGAGCATTCAGCTAGCGAGCGATATAAAGGCCATGTAGTTAGGGCTAGGTTATCTAAAATGCCCAACAAAGCCGTGAACATGGGCGCAGAATTGCGCAAGGTGGAAATACAACGAGGCCTCGGATGGATGCAGCGTACGGTCGACGAACATCATGTGAGTAGCGTTTCGACAGCATTTCCAGAACCAATTTACCAAGGAGCCTAGTCTCTGTGAATGAGCAAGAGTTTTACAACTATTTAGCTGACTATCCTCGACTCTCGTCAACTGGTGCGTCTGGCTATGAGGGTGAGATTACAGAGAGCGAAGTTCATGAGGCATTGAATAGGGTCAGCAGTAGCATGGAATTATTAAAGCTTCTTCAGGGAATGAGATATAGGAAAAAATATAACTACTACTAATACAATCGGTGTTGACATAAAAAGTCCCCAAATCAACATGGGGACAATCTCAAAACATAAATAATGCCTAGTATTATAACTACACACGCACTCGCGTGTGTATACATTATTAATCTAATCCCTTGTAGACAAACTAGAATCATGATACACTTACACACATAAATTGTACATACGAACGCTGTTTCACAAGTCAAATGCACTTAATCAATGAAAATCAAACAATTCAAAAATAAAAAAAATATCATTTCTTTCCATACCTTATTCTCAGATGAAGTTTTAATAGAAGCGAAGCATAGAAGCATGTTAGATTTATAAACGTTTCCTATTTGTTCTATACACCGGAGAACTCTTCCAAGACGAAAAAGGAGAACCCCCAGTACAGAAATATTGAAGGATCAGAAATATAAACTGAAGTGAAATCAGCACTGATCAAATTGAACAGAACCAAATCAGCAGGGCCAGATGGAATTGTAACAGAGATGCTGGCAGCCTTAGATGATTTCGGAATTAGCAAGATTACAGACATTATAAATGAACTATACAACAGTATGATAAACCAGGAGACCTAAGTAGATCCATTTTCATCCGAATTGATAACGCTTTGATTAGAAAAAACAAATAGTAATAAAAATTAAGCATTGCTGACATATCAGGTCTGGTGTTCCTGATGTACATCGAGATTTTTTTAGAAGATCCAAAGAAGGGTTTGTAATGTAATCGATCATGACCAGGCATCTCGACTTCGGTCATTTTCTAACTGACTTGACGTGACTTTCCTCTGCCATTTTTACAGATATGTTCATGGTAATTGATCTGATTAATTTTTCCATGGTACCCCGACTACATGAATTTAAGCGTCCTACTAGATTGGCAACTAGGTCCCACTGTTTCACTGTTGAACATGCTTAATGCAAGCCCAACTTCTCCACCAACAGTTTCTTTTCTCGCACTTCCCACATGTGAAACTCACCGTGGTTCCCTTGTTTCCCTGATAAGTACAATCTTCACAAAATTTAAATGCAATGTCAATCACCATCTTCTGTTTTCCTAAAACGTATTCATGTCCTTTCCTCAATCCTACCCATTCTAAGTTTTCTCGTTCTCTTTCACTTTCACTTCCTCACAGCTCTTTGCATCTTAGTGGCATTATCGCCTTACTTGTGGCTGAAACGATTAAGAAATAACAAAAACAAAACAAAACAAACAAAAAACAAAAAAAAAAACAATGTTTACCAAATACTTACGCTTTTTCAAAATCCCAATAACTACAAAGAGCTTCCAAATTTTCTTCCTGTTAAAAAAATAAAAGAAAACAAACAAAATAAATGAAAGAATTCATCTTATTCCGTGCATTTTCATTCGGCAGAATATATATATATATATATATATATATATATATATATATATATATATATATATATATATATATATAAAGCAAATAACGCTGAAAATAGCCCCAAACCTGCATCCAAAAACACAATTATTACCACTCAATAATCCCTGGAATAATTCGAAACATAACCGTTACCACGCACCGTTAGAATAATACAACAGACTACTCACAAATGCATCACTGACCTGTATATATAAGTAGTCGATCAAAAACACAACGCATATGGACTGACGATTACGTTTATCATGCTGCCTTTGGGTGTTGAGATCAATGTCTTGAGACACACACACACACACACACACACACACACACACATACATATATACGTATATATAGATATAGAGATATAGGTAGATAGAGAGAGAGAGAGAGAAAAAGAGAGGAGGATTTATTGATAAATAAGGTATATAATCATAATATGTAAGTATCAAATAACCAAATTAAATATATTTCTCTTTATGAAGAAAGTTTCTGGTTTACTTTTGATCCAATTGAACGCCGCGACTTTCTAGAACATCCAGAAATTTAATGGCGCCAAATCGGGCTGTGCAAGAACCAAAAAAAAAAAAAAAATAATAAAAATAAAAATAAATAAAAATGAAAAATTCAATTTCTCCCATCCCACCACTGGTGCCGTTTCAAAGAAGGAAACCATTGGCAGAAAACGATGAATATTACTTCCGTAATTTTTGAAGATGAGACACGAAAAGACGCCAGGTCACGTGACGGATGAACGCAGTCTGCTCGCTTTCTTCGGTCTCAACGCGATCTTGCATTGTCAGAATGAAAAAAAAAAAAAAATGTCAGGCCTTTTTTTTTCCGCGGATGCTCTTCAGCGTCGGCAAGTTTTCATAGCTTTTATATGCCTGTCAATTTTAGTTAGTGCGCATGCTTCTAACGGAAAAAAGACCCCAAAACCTTATCACTGCTGCTTTGTACACAACTCGGACGTAGTACTAATGATGAACGAACGTTATTACTTAACGTTAACCACATTTGAACAGAGCACTTTATACTAATGAATGTTCAAAAATGCTTCTGTTTATTGTTAGTGATGTCACGCAGTATACTTTTGTGCCAAATACAGTAAGTAATAAGTAAGTAATACAGTAAGTAACTCGTATCCGAGTATGTGTCTGCTAGGGCAGAGAGCCAATCCGTGTTGTAGACGCCTGCTCAGGCACATTTGTGTTTGTTCAGCGCCCACAGAGCCCACCTATGGTTTATACTTCAACTATACTGAACAGACCTTAGTTACAGTTTCTGGGAGAAACGAGTGATATCTGGTATAATCAACCCTCTGAACAAGGCCAGTACGCTTAAATCCTCGGCCATGATGACTTATGACTTCTTACTAGAACAACTATCGACGCCTCACACATAGTCTCGTCTACCGAATTTTATTCGCAAGGTTTGCGTCAAAGCGTGGTATGATTTTTCAGGCACTTTCAAAGGTCACCTTCATGACAAACCGTCCATGGAGAACCCGGGTCTCATGATCGGAAAGCGAAAGTTCCAACCACTCGGACACGTTCGCATATACCAAATAAAAATACTGTATGGAATAGTCAAGTCGGTTTGGGAATTTTCCGTTTATAAACTAAGCGTAACAGTTCAAATAAACGGAGCCACCGAGAATTTTTATAGAAATTTAATGAACAAAATAATCTTGCTGAAAAATAAATGCGCCAAAACTAATGAGCATCGTGCCGGGGTAAAAACAAGTTAAACAATACCGTAATTTCCCATGGATAATACGCCTTTATCCATAATACGCACTCCTAAAATTGTGTTGAAAGTGTAGGAAAATGCTTCTATTCAATACACAATCGCCGAATTTTAGTGTTAAATTGTCGTTTGTTTGTGGTGGGTAGTCATTTTGCAACTGAAATCGACCTATGAAACGGCATTTATTAAAAAAAAAACATTTTTGTAGCTATGCATAATACGTACCTCTAATTTTGCTTATTATTTTTTAGAAAAAATGCGTATTCTACATGGGGAATTACGGTATCTATCTATCTATCTATCTATCTATCTATCTAAGCTAAGCCAAATGATATCTATCTAAGCTTATCTAAATATTTATCTATTTACAAGTTGCGATGAATAAATTGTTGCCATTTTAGATTTTTAATCGCGCCCACGAGAGTTGCTTGTTTTTGTCGACTGCACAGTATATTAGGATCAGTGGGGCATCACTTGTGAGAAAAAGAACACCATGATGCAATTCAATCTGCTAGAAATTTGGAAACGGCATGCTGTACTGCTTGGCATTCGCGCCGGAAGCCCAAATATGAACATTTCAGAATGTTTGGGCGTCAATCTGAGGAGAGTGCAGAGGATTTGGAAAGAGTTGGATGAGTCTAATGGTGATTACGAAGGTACGGCAGCTCAGAAAACTCACTATGATATTTCGATAAGAAAAGAACGCTCAAATTTGTTGGTGAGACCCTCAGACTCAACACAGAGGCCGACATCAAGTGCCTTGAAGAGGTAGTGCTGCCATGGGTCAAGAGAGTGGCTGTTGGAAGACCCTATGTCTGGCAACAGATTATTATGATTATTATATGAGGTGTACAGTTGAGAGATAAACCAACAAAACTCCTTGTAACACCAAAGATGAACTGAAGGCAAGAATTTTGGCAGCATTCACCAACTTAAACTAGGGGAGCATCCAGAAAAGTTGAAGTAGATTTCGAAGTCGTCTGGAGGCCGTGGTTAATAAATTTACTCTTTAATATTTCAAGATAGTTTTGTGTAATTTTGGTAAATATATCTGCTAAAATGAGATGTCAGTGTTATTTTTCATTTTTGCGTAATTTAGACGACAATTTATCCATCGCGCCCTGTATGTGAGTGTGCGTGCGCGTGCACGCGCGCGTGTGTACGTGTGTAAAATTCAAATATAAAATATATCTGTAAAAAGACAGTATGAATAATGACAAAAAGAAAACTTTTCTTTGCCAACGCGTTTCGTTCCCTGAAGGACTTTATCAAGGTATATGTAAGGATTTTATTTTGCAACATGTATTCTTACATTTACCTTGATAAATCTCCCAGGGAACAAAACGTTTTGGTAGAGAAAAGTATTCCTTTGTCATATATATATATATATATATATATATATATATATATATATATATATATATATATATATATGAAAATTTCTCCGATTTAATCGGTAGAAAGACAATATTTATGAATAAAAATGACAATAGGAAAACTGGTAATTGCTGACGCGTTTCGTCCAATGTGGGGTTTATCATATTTTTTCGTATTTTGCTTTGATAAAGTCCACATTGGACGAAACGCGTCAGCAATTACCAGTTTTCCTATTGTCATTTTTATTCATAAATATATATATATATATATATATAATTTTAATATCTATATTATAATTAGAATCACACTTACCCTTTTAATATACTGAAAGCCAAGTTGGACAGGATTTTTTAACTTAGTACTTTTTTTGTTTCCCACCTTAATAGACAGCACCATTGTATTGAGAGTTTGCACTGGTTTTGTTTCGTTTTTCGTGACTGCTGTCTGCAAATACAATTATTTGTTTTAGTAATTTGGCATACAAAATGTCCCTTAATTTTCGTTGGTAAAGCATTTTGTAAATTTGTTAACGCTACACCTGAAAACTGTTTCAACACTTGCAGCCATAGCGTAATGATAGAAAACCAGCTGCCTAAATTTGTTTCTACTATTAGTAATAAACATTAAGACAGACTTGGAGTGTTAGCCTGCTGTAGCAACACACCGACTTACTAATTAAAAGAAGCTAGTTCTTCCTATTAAACAAAACTGACAAACACCAACACCACGATCTAATTAACTGAGAAAGAGGAATCGATCTGTTGCTTGAAGTTCTTATTTGAGCCAGTACGTTCTCCAACCTTCCTCAAGTGCATGCCACATGCGGAAAGCACTTTTAAAAATTATCCACTGATCCAATTTTAAATATTTCAACAGATAACAGAGAAAAATACAAGGAAAGAACGAGAAATGTTGACAGACCAAACCAATACAACATTTACTCAGTTGCATTTGTTAGGCAATAAATTACATCACACAGCGACGGCCATAATTGACTTTATCTTGCACAGCAAGATTTAAGGATATTTTAAGCTGTTCTCAAATTCAAAATTTGAAAACTGAACGATATCTTTCATCCAAGTTTCGTCTGTATATAAATACAAGTTACGAAATCAAATTTTCACATTTACCTTGATAAAGTACCCCAGAGGACGAAACGCCTTGATAAATAAAAGCTTCCTTTTGATACATATATATATATATATATATATATATATATATATATATATATATATATATATATGTAAATCATATGCTGCCTAATGTTTTATGTTTATTAAAAACTATCGATCCGCAGTACATAAAAATTCCTATAAAAAATTACTATTATGACACTACACTATATTATTGAACTATATACTTAGTTCATGACATAAAAACTGAATACACTTGTAAAAATAGAATACGTGGATTTAACACATCACAAGAAATATTTAAATAAAATTCTCACTTAAAATTTTGAAAAACTTAGCGTTGCGTCCTTGCACGTTCCGAGATCTTACAACTGTCAATAATAGCAGATATTCAAAAACATCTTTCGGTCGACATACAGATATATCGTCTCAAGTTTTGATTTTATAAGAAAAAACACATGCCTGATGATGGATGGTAGACCGTCCGTAAGTACTAGGATTTTAACATCGAATAAACTGAAAAAACTACAGACAACAAGTTTTTCTTCAAGGATCAAAAGTCGCACTATGGATGAACAGGATTTTAATGCATATATTATGTTTTCTAGTGACGGATGTCGCCAATAATCGCATTGATACTTCTTATTAATTCTATGTGTGATTAATTCTTGTATATATATATATATATATATATATATATATATATATATATATATATATATATATATATATGAGGAGACAATCCAGAGTGTTCGGCAAGATATAGTGACGATTGGTTTACTGTCCTGTGCAGATCCCAGTCCACTCAGCATTTACGTATATTAGAAGCGGTTTATATTAAATTACATCAACCAGACAAAAAGCCCATTTTGTTCGCTCTCGGTCTTTTAGGTATGTGAGTGAATTTTACCACTTTTATACTCACTAGGAACTCTTTCCGTTGACTCTTTTGCCAGTATATTTTTCTCCCTCTTGTTTGTATTAATAAATTTTTATTTTAGTAGTGATTGCTTTTTCCTCCTCCTTATATTTTTGTACGAATTGTTATCATGTTAATTTAATATTTACCAACGTATTCTTCTGATGAAATATTGTTTGAAAAGAGGATCATTAAAAAAGAATACTTTCCTGCATTTTCAAACATATATAGATAGGTTCTGTGGTGCCAAATATATATATATAATGAAATGGACAAAGTCCGACAATTATTTTAAGACATTTTTATGTTTATACATTCATTTTTTTATAGATACAAATACTTAAGTAAATGCTCTGTTTGTAATAAACCGGTAAATATTGTTAATACTGTTTATTATAAACAGAGCATTTACTTAAATATTTGGATCTATAAAAAAATGAATGTATAAACATAAAAATGTCTTAATATATATATATATATTCTTTGTTTATTTCTCGCTCCATTGATGAAGGACAAAGACGTGTCCAAAAATTTCGAACTTAAAACCTTCTTTCCGTGCTTCATTTCTGTCATGTAGGTAATAATTAATATTTAATAAATGATTATCGTATTGATTATATTGGTACCCTTTTGCTTCTCCATGTTTTATTAACTAACCTATCTATTTTACATATAAGAAGCATACGTGAACCCTTTATTCTAATTATATATATATATATATATAGTTAGTTTATGCAAATTTAGGTAATCCGTATGGGTAGACCTGAGGAGGATGATATCCAGAGAACTCAATGTAAAATTCAGAGCAGATATGTTTGAATAAAAAACAGACTACGTTAAGATTCCATGTAATAAGCTATTTCACCATAAGCCCTTTAACAGGGTTCTGGATCATCAGACTAAAGTCTGATGATCCAGAACCCTGTTAAAGGGGTTATGGTGAAATAGCTTATTCAAATATATATATATATATATATATATATATATATATATATATATATATATATATATATATATATATATATATATATATAGCACAGTAGCGTTACAACTCAATTGCGCAATGTTGAAAGACAGATTATTATATTTAAAAACATTATAAAATAGTTTGATTTTTTTCACTCATTCTTGTGGAAATTGTCCTGCATTCACTGCCATCCATTAAGCATCTTATAAATCTACGAAAGGGATATATTAAAACCACATTTGTGTGAGCCTAATATTTAAACATGTAAGAAACTGAACTCACTCATTTAAATCGGAAAAAATGTTGGAAAGATTTCTGAACAGAACGATAGAGACTGGCATGGAATCTTGTCCCTCTGCAAATGGAAAATTACAGAAACTTTAGAAAATATTCGACAGTATATGCATTTTGTGGTGATTTAATTTTGAACGAAATGATTATATTTCATACGACAAGGATTACACATGGATTTTTCGTTTGTCTTTTGAAAATGTTCACATAAAATAGCGAAACGTCAACGTTTAAATTAAAAAGCAACATTTTTTTTCAATATCTGACCAGTTATCACGTATTTTAATTTTCCATATTCTGATGAATATTTTGCGTCAATCGTTTATAAAACATACTTTTTAAAAAAAATCACTCGAATAACATTAAATAATATCACCTAAATTCTGAAATTTTATTTACTGTTTAGTTTATTTATTTCAGACTCGATGAATTACTTAATTATAATTATCAAATCCTCCTAATAAGTTTTATCATTTGTATATCATTGCTTGAAGCGGCTTCTAATGCTCAAGTTCGAGCGGCTTGGTGATAGTAGTCGTGGCTCCTGGGGGCACAGTCCTATGGTTAGAGAGAATCTCAGTAAGAGTTCCAACATGGAATATGTGAGCGAGCGGCGCTATATTGAGTCTGATTTGCAATCTCTTCGTTGCTTGACACCCTAACTGTTAGGGTTTCAATTCTCGGTAGTGGATGCGCACTGCTGATGAGTCCCAAATATAGTGCGAAACGGCCGTCCAGTACATTCTGTTGAGGTTTCTTTCAGACTCGATGAATACTTAATTATATTTCCTCAAAAGGAGTAGATAGGTCTACCTATCGTTCGGTTCACACTCCTCTCTGCTCCTTTTGAACAGGAGTAAATGATTGTTTCTTGTTTATGATTGGATTTCCGGTTTTTTTCCTTCCATTTCACTTCAAGTAGCCGCCCTTGCGTCTTAGTGGCATTATTGCCTTGCTTGGAGTGAAATGATTATAAAAAATATTTGAGATGTTACTCACAATTTTCATGGAATTGGAATAAATTGAGCATTCAGTTACATTATAAAGTGTTTCCTTGGGTACCTCGAGGAGGTGCAATAGTTAGCAAGCTTGTCTCGATAGCACAATTATAGCTGAATAGTGAGTTCGATCCTCACTGGGTGCCCCATACTTTCGGCCTTGTGCCAAATCTAAGCTACGCTTGGAAAATCACTATAAAGTGTTTCTTGTGTTTTATCAGATACTTAATACATCACGCGAAATCCAGATTCCGACTGCAAAGCTCATTATATCTATTATCAAACGGGAAATGGCTTCCTTCCTGGAAGGAATGATCCTTTCTAAGAGGAAGATATTTCGCCCTTCAACTTTTGCGTATCTTTTTGCAATAACAAATAATATATTCAGTGTGATTCGAATTTCTGAGATGAAGTATTAAAAAAAAGTTATTAAAAATAAACTAAGATTGTTAAATCTTAATTCCTATTATTTTTTTTATCGTAACCCTCAGGTCGTTCGATATTTTACAGCCATTCATTGTCCTCAGAATAAAGAATAAGGGATGACGAATGCGATTTCAAATCTCTATATATCTTATTAAGAGCCGTTCCAGGTAGAGGGTTACTGAATGAAGTTGTTGTATGAAAGTAAGAGGGGAAAGTATGAAGTGCAAAATATGAGGCTATGGGGTAAAGATAACGGTTGACCCTAGACATAAAAGTGACAAGGTCGTAGTACTCGAGGAAGCATTCTCCCGCGAGTCTGTTTCACAAAGTAGCAGTTCTTGGCAAGAACCTGTCACAATGGAACTTCCTTCTTACAAATGGAATATGAAGAAAAAGAGGATGGTTCATCCCAGTGTATTAATTGTCGTAAAATGAAGACATAGGTATCAGGATAAAAATCAATAGAAGTGAAAATGAAAGAATGACGAGATCAACTATCATTTAAAGTTGGTTAATTGTGTTAATTAGGCTTTCTTTTTATTACCGCTTATTTTTTATTCATTAAATATGTCAGGAGATATTTACCGCCACAATGGTAATGACAATCATAATATTTGCCGTTTCCCTACAAGGAAACATTCGGTATTCATTGACCGATCAACCACTACTGCTTCGGTTAAAACTTATAAAATCTTTCTCTTAAAAATATTTTTTTTATGAAAACAGATTTCTCAAGTTCAGTAGCTTTTATAGCTCTTTCCAATATTGATAGAGGTTTCCTTCCGAACTTTCTATTCGAAGTGGAGTGGAATGTAAAAATCTTAATTATGTCAGTTATTTTCTATCCGAGTTACAACTGTCATCCATTTTAGTTGTTGCTGCTGTTGGTAGTCCTCAACTGATGTGGTTTCTGTTATTTGGTACAATATTTTGTGATTCTGTAGCGCCAATATTCATTTTTCAAAGAAGGATAATCTTTGTCAAGACCCTCAGGCTTTACACGCTCAAAGACATTTTTCATTATTGATCTTATTAAGCAGTTGTATACAGTTGACAATTTTTGACTGGGTTTGGCACCATACATGACATCTATACGAAAGTTTCGATCTGACGAGAAGGAGCAACGAAAGAGAACTGAATACTCTGTCAATAGTGGTCGTTAGTAAAATCATGACTACTGGATTTAAAGGGTGTGGATTTCTAAATATATCTAAATGAAAAAAGACCATAAACCTTTTCTCGAGACATTCCTACCAACAGTTCAATTCTCCTCTTTATTCATACAGCAATATGAATATACTTGGAGACAAAAAGACAACATTATAGGATTGTGCTGCTTCAAATCGTCAGGGAATAGCTGCTAAAATATCCCCTCCTTTAGTTTATAGACAAATCCTAGAAATGCATACTGGGATATCTTAGTAAATAAAAATGGACTGAATAGCGAGTTTGAGTCTCACTGGGTGCACCATACTCTCGTAATTGTGCCACATCTGAGCAACGCTTAGAAAACCAGCAATAAAATAAATTCTTGATCATACCCACACGTTTTTTCTTTCTTGCCTTGCAATCAGAAGGCTATAATCAATTGACTGTATCCCTTTTGCATATGAACAGTGTTTCATTATTACTGTCTTATAATTAATTTATTTTGCTATTGCTTTATTGTTGCCTCGCCTGGACACTTCGACGTGTTGTAATAGTTAGCAAACCTCTTTCGCTAAAACAATTACGAATGAGTTCGATCCTCACTGAGTGCACCATACTTTCGGCTCTTAGAAAAACCATTCAGGCACCTTGACGTGGTGTAATAGTTAGCAAACCTCTTTCGCTAAAACAATTACGAATGAGTTCGATCCTCACTGAGTGCACCATACTTTCGGCTCTTAGAAAAACCATTCAGGCATCTTGACGTGGTGTAATAGTTAGCAAGCTTGTCTCACTAGATCATTTACGAGTGAGTTTAACTCTTACGCAGTGCTCTATATTTTGGCCTTGTGTCATATCTAAGCTATACTTAGAAAATCATTTGGGTATTTCTCTATGATATAATGGTTAGCAAGATCGCCCACTTGTTCATTTACGATTGAATAGTTCAATCTTTACTGGGTGCTCCGTACTTTCGACCTTGTCCCACATCTCAGCTACGAATGTAAATTCATTTGGGAACCTCGAAGTGGTGTAATGGTTAGCAAGCTTGTCCCACTAGATTAATTACAACAAAATAGTGAATTAGATCCTCACTGGGTGCTCCGTACTTTCGGCCTTGTGCCACATTTAAACTAGACTTAGTAAACTCCTACAGTTGCTTTTTCTTATATTACATTGTTCATTTCTTGTTTTATTTTGCTATATTCTCCTTTTTATTTTTATTGCTTGGGGGAATTTTGCACTTTAAGATAACCGCTTATTCAACAGATTGAATTTAAATGTAATGATAAAAAAAGATAATGTCAGACTACTCACCAGGTGCAATTTCTTTCAAAAGGCTCGGAGATAAATCCATATTAGTTTTTGACTTTATTACCCATTCATCCAGATTTTTTGTTTTTCCAGGAAACGACGTTTTCTCTTTAGTCGGGACTTTTGAAACGACCACAGCTGTAAAATGTATACGAAACTATCATGTATGCAATTATAAATTTGGTACGTAAGAATAACTTGCTACATATCCAACAAAATTTAATTTGACAACAAAGATACTTGTCGTTACAGAAATTTATTTGTGAATAAATGAGAGAGAAATAAAGAGAGGTATAGTACAGCGACGTGAGGAATATACAAAGTTATATACTCCTATAGATAGATAGATAGATAGATAGATAGATAGATAGATAGACTGAGACAGGATATATATAAAGACGAATATCATCATCATCAGATAGATAGATAGATAGATAGATAGATAGATAGATAGATCTGATTAGGCTGAGATATATAGATAGGTAGATCTAATCAGTTTGAGATAGATAGATTCTAGACTGGCTAATAGTCAAGGCTTGAGAGTACAGTCTGACTTGTTATTTAAACCATTCACTTGGTGAAGCATTCTTACATTGTTTTTACAGCTTAGTTACGAAATAATAATAATAATAATAATAATAATAATCGATACGCTCTCATGGCTTCTGAACTTAATTGATCAGAACTGTTAACAAGCACATAATTTGTTTTGTTGAAGATAGGCCTAACCGAGTAATAATAATAAACATACCAACATCACGCAAGTACAAGAATTTAAATATCTGGGAAGCATTTTAATAAAGGACAAAAAGTGCGAAATCTGAAGGCAGGTTGGAATAGTCTTCCAAAAGCTAAGTAATGTATTAAGAAACTAGAAAATCTCGTTAAAAACAAGAAAAATAACTTAATTTTGATATAATATCGGTCCTCCTATATGGCAGTGAATGCAAGACAATGTCATCATGTGACCATCGACAAAAAGGACACATAATTAAAATCAGAAAGAGTCAGTTGAAATTTTTAGGGATCATAATGAGGAAAGGCATGTTGAAAGGCACGAGGGACAGCAGTAAGTTAACCCTAACCCAAATAACTTACCTTACGAGCTTGTATAAATGGATGGTAGAACTGGGATTAGGAGAGATTGCAAAAAGATAAAATTTACTAAAAGCTACAAAGGACAGGAAATTGTGGGTAGCCATGATCGCCAACTTCCGCATGGAATATGACACACAGAAGAAAAAGAAGTATTGTAATATTGAAAAGACTTAATTCCATTTGATCTCGAGTAAATTCCACCAGATACTAAGAGCGTAAAAAGTTCTATGAATACAAAATATTGTTTCGTATTCAGAGAACTACTAATATATTACTTATAATACTAATGTACCCGCGCTGTCAAAATTGACGGCAAGAAGGAATGTATTATAAGTAATATGTATTATACGATGTATTATACGATAAGTAATTTCGTTTAATCTAAGCACAGTTTTGTAATTTACTATAGTTCGTTGTTAACGTTAATAATTGAACAGTGTATAATTCATAAACACCTATGGAAAGATATCTGTATATTATCATCATAAATGTTACATATTTACAGTCAAAATTATGTTGGCTACAAAAGTTTCCAAAGCACAATATTTTTTGTGTAAACTTTTGAAGGTCTGATTAATCCTTGACATTCCGTAGATTCAATCTGTAATTTCAGAGTCTACTTATTTCTCGTCCCACTAAAAGTAACGTATCATCATATATATATATTTTAATCTATTCTTTGTTCCCTTTCTTTTTTTAATTATAATTTTAAAATTTTAAAATGAATTTCTAAAAATGAATAAAGCATTCTTGAAGATATATGTGGCGTATTATATATACGAATACACACAAATAACGTGTGTGTGTATATATATATATCGTCATCCAAAGACAGACAGTTTCGCTGTATCACAGCTTATCAGTGTGGCTAAACGTACGATCGCTTCAGGCTGGGATTGAAACCTGACCGATTTGGTATCAGTCGGAGATTCTAACCCCTAGGCCATTGACGCAGAGAGAGAGAGGCGAATTTTTTGCGTATTTATTTTTATAAACACACCAGACACGGCTCGAAGAGTCTTGCAATATATATATATATATATATATATATATATATATATATATATATATATATATATATATATATATATATATATATATATATATATATATATATATATATATATATATATATAAATTATTTATATAGATAAATTATTTTTGCTGTTATTATTAGAACTCGTATTACGAGTGTGAAAATGTTTCCAGTTTTTTATTATTTTATTGCTTTATTATTGTAATTGTAATAAAATTAATTTACTACTGTGTATTTAGTCTCTTGCTTTTTATAAAGATAACACGAGGAACTTTTGCCCGCATCTGATATCTACCGCATAATGATTAAAATAATATTACTTTTATTATACTCTTGTCACACATTTATATATTCAATGGAAATTTTGTTCTTAACAACTTAGTAAATGAATTTACAGCGTTGTAGCTCAGATCAGGCACCAGGTTCGTTCTCTTGATGCAGTTGCTTCCAGCCGAACGCTTGTGGCTCAATACATAGAATATAACTCTTTGACCAGATCATTACCGACGAAATGAAACCATGAGACAAATTGTATCAGTCGGCATATTTATATCCTATTGCAACTTCGTAAGCTCCGGCTGCAGGCAAGCGAGGAAGAGTGAGGCGAGGTGAGAGGGTGAACGATCTAACCGGTATGTACCTTCCTTTTCCTATGGCAGCCGAGCAATATTCTGTCCTAGGTTGCTAGGGACCACACTCTTATAAATAACCAGTCTTCTTTGTCTTGTCAGCATTCGTCTGAAAAAGTCGTTCATTAAGTCAGTTGCATTCATCTAAGCTACCTTTTCAGAATCGTTTGACCTTCTTTGTCAAGACGAAAACAATTACAATTTCTGTAAAATCCTGTAGATATCTCAATAAAAAAGATATCAGCTGACGACTGATATCGCTACAAAATTTCCAAACCAGAGATTTCTAGCCACCATTACTAGCAAATATATTTATATGGAAATGCGGAAAACGCTTTCACCGTTTTATTATGAATATTGTGCCATTATTATTATTATGATTATTATTATTTCTCACATTGCCGTAGTCAGTGGAAATTCTGTTCTTTATGCCTGGTGTCAACAAGAATCCATAACTTTTATGGGATCTTACCCATAATAACATAATGCACTATTCCATACGTAAGAAATAGTGCGCCTCAAGAGGGAGAAAGAGTTCAGTCCGAAGTCGGGCGAGCGGTTGACCATCTGATCGGTTAAACTCTTTGCCTTCGGGCGGGGAGGAACCCGAACGAGGCTACGCCGAAGGGCGGAGTCTCTTTCGGGGAGGTAAACCGACCCTGAACCCGTTTATACGGGTTCAAAGGGCATATTTATGGCCTAGTCCACTTCTCTGTATATATTCCTGTTTGTAATATATCTGTGTTATTCCATATACGTGTTCGAGTTGTTCTTTATTGGTTCTACCTTGGACTATCACCGTGGTACAAGGAACCGGACCATAACACTAACCTTCCTAAGATTCCTAAGATTTCAGAGAACCCTCGCAGAGTAAATGATGGCAGTTTTTTGGAGGACTAAGTTCTTAGTCTCAATTCCAATTTTCCTTAAGTGCTCTTTCGTTCTTTCAGGTGCTGTTCCAAGTGCACCCATTACTATAGGAATTACTTCAAAAGTCATATTCCATAGTTTTCAACTCCCTAGTCAAATCCTGGTATTTTGTAATATTTTCAGTTTCTTTGAAGTTTACTCTTGTATTATATGCAACAATAACGTCAATAATTTGACACTTGCTATTCTCCTTATCTATAGGAATAAGGTAGGGTCTTCGTACTTCAGTGACATCATCTCGGCAGAGAAATCACATATCTTGTCACTGTCATTTTCTTTCACAGTCTCTTTCTGATTCATACTACAATATATGCTAGTGTACAAGGCGACTGGGTGTATAAGACGACCACCAAATTCTCGAGTTAAAATGTATGTTTCGGGCTATATTCGCCGTACAAGACGCCGCCCAAATCGTATTTTAAAATTTATTGTATTTATTAAATATATACAGTAAGCATATACATTCTTTTCACTCAAATTCTAATGAAAAACAGTGGGGAGATATTGTCAATTAAGTACCACAATCTACAATACCTCATGAGTAGGCTATTATGGTAGCCTGAATGACATTTGCCCGCTAATCATCCATTCATTCCACAGTTCTGGAAGGCGATCTTTAAATGGCCTGTTGAGACATATCCAGTTGTATTTTGCTCAACATCATCGAAAAAAGAGGCGAGGCAAGTGTTAGCCTACCGTCTCCCATGTTAATAGCTTAACATAATCCATAGGATTTAAGTTTCACATTTTATACCTGGTGGGTATTTTCTAAGGTACACCGACATATACGGTATTTGTCTTTCACATTGAAGCCATATTTTCGCATACTTTCCAGCTGATTCTCTTACTAGTCCAATCATGTCGTCGCTTAAATACTTTCTGTGCCAACTTGGGACATCCACCAAATACATTGTTAACTGTATTTATCAGCTAGCAAACATATCCTGTATTGTGATTTATCTATTCTGGTATTATTATTATTATTTTTATTTTCTTTGATTTCTGGCGTTTAAACATTTCTTTCCGGGTCCCGCCCAGGGGCCTAAGGTTAGAAATGGCATCATGACACTTTCCACTGACAAAAAAAAAAGAAAAAAAAATTACATAGATAAAGCCTTTCGTTAAGTGTGGGCTGTACTTGTCAGAACAATTCTTTGTATCTCCTTGAGGCATGGACTTCCAGGAATCGCTTCAATTAGTCTACTGCAATCTTTTCCAACCAGTCCTAGGGCTCCAACTACAACAGGGATGTTCTACAGTCACCTTTTTACACTTGAAATAGCTAGACGTAACCATAGGTTCTATGCTTCAGTTTCTTCTCTCGCGCTTCTCGCTTGCGGAACTCTCGCCTGGCTTCTTGCTTCCCAGTCAACTTTGATCTTCAAAGATTTAAATGCAAAGTCAATCATTATCTTCTGTCTTTTAAATTCTTGTTCTTTTAATTTTCTCTCTGCTTAATAGTGTTTTTGTCATATTTTCTAGCTTTATCAGCCTGCATGCGATGAAATTATTAAAAAAAGAAGACATTGAAATATTCGTATCAACTCACTGATTGTACTGCAAATTAATACTCCATTACTATCCTCACATTTTGAAGATTGTTCCCTGTTTTCTAAGAATGACTGGCACAACTGTCTCCTTCATATTTCATTATTACTTCAGTTCGTTATTAAAGTTCACAGTTTTCCACTTTCTGTTCATGATTATTATTCGAATGATGTTGATAAGGAGTCAAAATAAGCAATTCATGTTATGGTTAAATGGATTTTTTAAAAAATATAAAATAAATTTGAGAAACAGTTACCAAGATTGGGTTTCGAAATCGTCGTTTTACTTAGATTAGAAGCTTTATCTGCGGCAAGGCTTCCAAAATCTTCCATCTTCTTCAGCAAATTAAAGGCCACTTTCTTATCCTGTAATAAAAAAAAATATATATATAAGGCACTTTGGCATAAAACATTACGGTAAAAATATTTTGATTTATAATACAAATAAGGTTGAAAAAAAAAACACGAATAAATTCATCCGACAACCTAATATATATATATATATGTGTGTGTGTGTGTGTGATATAGAGTTTATACAAAACTTGACATGACAATGCGTTTTTCTTTCGTTTAGATAGGCTCCCTCGGGTCAAAACGAAAGAAATGTGTGTGCGTGTGCGTGTGTGTGTGTGTGGGGGGCGGCGGCTGGAATGAAAGAATAAAATTGTATGTTTTTTGTTGTAAAGCTGTTATTTTAATTTGTAATATAGATTGTTGATATGTATATATATATATATATATATCAACAATCTATATAAAATTCAAATAATATACAATAAAAATAAAATATTTGTAAAAATAAGAACTAATGCAGCAGAAATTTATAGAAACAAGGATCTTTTCATTCATAACAGGTTCGGGGGTTTTTGTATATTATTTGAATTGTTTGCGACGATGGATTTCTCGCCAATTAAATCATTAACCTTTGCATTTGTTTTTGTGTGAATAATTCATGAATTTGTAAATTGATTGCACGTTTAAATTAAAATAACTGATCCAAGTGCGACTTTTGGATAATAAGTGCGACATTACTGTAATTATTGAACAATATAGTTCATGCCACTTTGACAGAAAATTTACCAGTAAAAAAAATTCGCTTATCACCATATTTGAACAAGAACGCACAACTGTAATATTTAAAATCAAACTCAGCGTTGCTACTGCCCGCTCCAAAAACAATAACTCATTTCCAATAGCATTTTTCGGATACAACAATATATATATTTTCGTTGTCCTCTTATTACTGAGAGAAAAAACAAGAACAACATCTATTCCATACCTGAAGATGTCTGTAGGAACAGACGAAAGCTTGTAGTAAAAATAAGAACTAATGCAGCAGAAATTTTTAGAAACAAGGATCTTTTCATTCATAACAGGTTCGGGGGTTTTTGTATATTATTTGAATTGTTTGCGACGATGGATTTCTCGCCAATTAAATCATTAACCTTTGCATTTGTTTTTGTGTGAATAATTCATGAAAATATATATATTTCTATATATATGAATGAATGATATGTAATAATGTATATACAGTGTAACCCGCATATAAGAGACCCTGATATAAGAGAGATTTTCTCTGGTCCTAAATTAGAGCCTGTGTTAATGTATATAAATTAGATCAAACCCGGATATAAGAGAAACCCGGATATAAGAGACTTCTTCTCCGGTCCCGACAACTCTCTTATATCCGGGTTACTGTGTATAAACAAATAAGTTTCTTTTAGCAATCTTTCTATAATTTTCTCTTGTTTTCGTACAATTAACTGTTGTTTTTACCTCTGTATGTGTATCTGTTCAAATTTGGTTTATATGTACAGTTTAACCCGGATATAAGAGACCCGGATATAAGAGAAATCCGGATATAAGAGAGATTTTCTCTGGTCCCAAATTAGATCCTGTGTTAATGTCTATAAAATAGACCAAACCCGGATATAAGAGAAACCCGGATATAAGAGCCTTTTTCCCTGGTCCCGACAACTCTCTTATATCCGGGTTACACTGTATATTGAAATAAACATTATTAATAAAATTATCTGTTTACCTTAGTTACTTATAGTTATTAGTGTTTATTTAGATATAAGATGGCCATCATATCAAATTTTCCCTATGCATTGTTTTAAGATATGCTGAGTTCAACAGTGTATAATACTTGAACGCAATCTTCAGGCCATGTCTTATACCGTCTTCAAATTTATGGTGGAATCAATTGTGACATGGTGTTCTTTTTCTCAGAGAGGTGCCTAACTGCTCTTACTATACTGTGCAGCCGACAAAATCAAAAACAAAGAACGATAATGCGCGAAACAGTGCGAACAGTGCACAGTGAGTGCTGGTAGTAAAAAATCACAAAGCTAAAATATATATTAAAAATAATTATATAGCTGTTCCTCACCGCTCGATGCTACTTGATGTTTCATGCACATGACAATCGTCAGGCATAAAATATGAGCAACTGTCATGGGTCCTTACCTATAACTACAGAATGAACTGTTCCAAACACTATGTATACTACGCCTCTCAAGAGAGAGGGTCGAATCGAGTCGAGCCGATAGTAGTTCACTCCACACCAGACTGACAGTCATACTAACACCTTCCACATTTTGTATTATTATTTCGTGTAATACACCTTCGTTATTTCTACTCTTGTGTTCGTGTTGTTCTTCCTTGGTCCTAACCTGAATCATAACAGAAACTCTACTAGTAAAGGAGAGGACAATAAAAGAACAGGAATTGAGAAGACAACAGATAACGATTGACATTGCATTTAAAATTTTGAAGATCAAAGTTGACTGGAAAGCAAGAAGCTGGATGAGAGTTCCACAAGCGAGAAGTGCGAGAGAAGAAACTGTTAGCATAGAACTTACAGTTACAACTAACAATTTCAACCTTGCCGCTATTCTATCACAGTGATTAAATTCATAAAGACGATGTAGCAGTAAGTTCACCAGTTTCCTACCATGAAAATATTTATAGAAAAACACAAGGAGGCTATATTAAACATTTCGAATATGATTTTATTCAATTTATTCAGCTAAATTGATTGTGTAACTTACCTTTTTTTTAATAGAAGACCATTGTTTTCCTCTTGATGGCGTGATTATATCACTGGCCACAGTGAAAAATCCCTAAAAAATATATATGTATATATATATAATTATGGAAAGACTGGCTATGCAGAAATGATATTAAGAGGTAAATAGCTTTCCTGAAAACAAATTTTACTTACCTGTTCTTTGCCCTTCTCTCTCTATCTCTCCTCCTCCCTCCCTTCCTTTCCCCTTTTCTTCTCCTTCTCCTTCTCTTCCTCTACACATCTCTCCTCCTATCTTTTCCCTTTATTTCATCTCACTACTCCCTCTCTCCCCCTCTATCCTCCTCTTTCAGTTGTCAATGAAAACCTTTTCTAGTTTTGGGATTGGAGCTTAATTTTTTAACAGGAACAACTGATTGTAATATGACGGTGTTTTAATGTAGGATATATACTCTCATCCTTGATGGTGACGTTAGGTTTGGTCATTTTTGATTATTATCTATATTTTAGCTTTTCTATCAAGCAGTCTTTGCGTTGATGAGTGCAACCCCCAAAATCTAGATGACCAAAACTTGGCAGCTTATCTCTCCCTGGATCTAGATCTAACAGCCCAATAGGGAGAAAAATGGCTTGGAATCTTCACTACCCACAAAACCGAACTAGTAACCAAGCTGCATGTTTTGCGCTTTACAAGAGGTTCCTTCCTTTGAACGTCTACCGTGACTCAGGTTCATCCCAGACCTCAGGTGGAATTCATTTATACGATCCGTTTCCAAAGATGATGGAAAAATAGTCATCTCCTTGTACTGCTCCAGAAACTACCTGACTTCGTCTGCTATCTTTATCTTTACCAGAGTTAAATCAGACCAAAAATGGAGTAACACCTGGGCGAATGGTAGATTTGTAAATGTTCAAGATGGATTGTGGCGAGAAAACATTGCCTGGAACACAACAATGAACCACGTTTCCTAGCAGCAGAGCCAGCAATTGATTCAATATAATTACTCCAATTTATGCCAGTGGAAACCGTGAGACCAAGAAAACACAATGAGTTGTTCTCCTGTGAGTTAGCACCAGTCATGCTCATGGAAGGCAAAAATTGTTCTTTATGATAACTAAAATTTTCATTTTGGAAGCGTTAAAATTTACAATACATTTCTTGCACCAGTTAGGGACAAGTGGATTCATGCTTTTTCGAAAGACATTATTGCAATGTGAACAAAAACTTTCTGAGCCGGTGTTTTGGACCCGGGTCGCCAATAAGGTTCCTTTTGTTGTGTCCTTTCCTTTTAATAAAACAATCCCATTTTTAACTCATTCGGTAGATGTTTTGAGACAAGATTATTCTCAGAAATGTGTTCTCTGCCTAACGTACTCACTAATGTAGTAATGAGCCCCAAGAATTTGTTTACTGACCACTTGTCTATAGCAAAGTGTTTTGTTAGATAAATGCAAAGAAGACTTTTGTTAGATAAATGCAAGAAGACTTGGTGGTAGAATTAATGTTATGATAGCTAAATTTTAAATAATTTCAAGTTAAAATTACTGGAAGGTTGCATGTCTGCCAAGTTCAATTTAGCTTCTAACTTACGTCAATTTGTGATTTTCCGATTTCTTTTTGTTGATCTGTGATCCCGACGACTTTATCGAGGGCTTCGATACTAACAATCATATCACCTGCTGTCAAATTATTCTGGTTCTCGTCTGTTAAGTTGGACAATTTTTCTAAAACCACCGATGTATCCTCGCCAATGTTGTTCTCAATATCTGTGAGCTAGTTTTATTTTTTAAAGTAAAAAAGGATAGAAAACAATAATGAAAATAACAGGTTGAATACCATTTGTAATAAAATTAACTAAATTTGATTAAGAGTATATTTTTCTCTAGTCTGGTAAAACGAGTGTTGCAGGAAGGAGGTATACTTTGGAATATTTACCGCTTCTTTAATCTTTTCAAATTCTTCTTTCACACAGTATTCGGTGTTTGGAGCATCCCATATACCATTATTTTGGCAGTATCTCTGGATTTTACCTGTAAAGACACGATATGGATTTTCTATTGGTTTAAAATAATTTCAGATTTAAGGAGTTACCGTATAGTTCCGCGTATAAGACGACTTTTAAATCCTCAAAATTACACTTAACAATTGGATTCGATATACTATAATTCTAAAAAGAAACCTTAAATTCTGAGTGATGTTTATCGGTAGTCGATTAGTCTATTATTATTATTATTATTAGTCTGACATTCATATCAGATCATATCTCATCATATCAGACCATATCTCATCATACCTCATCATATCAGATCATATCTCATTATAAATCAAATTAAGATGGAATTCTGACTGACGCATTTTGTTTCGTAAAGGAGATCAGTAAAAAGTTTTATGTCTTGTCACATACTTACGACCTATATATATATATATATATATATATATATATATATATATATGGAGATGTTGTCTTACTTTCTTCTCACATGTGCGGAAATTGAACGACGATTATGGACAATAAGGCATGAGAAATTGTAAAAAAAAATAATAATAAAAGAGGGATGAAGTAGAAAACAGTTGTCCAATTTGTAATCATTTCCCACATGAAATTAATACACGTTAATACAACGAAAATTAGAATAGATACGACACAATGGGGGGGAGGGAGAGGAAGAGAACGAATGCGCATGCGCAATTGTGTTTGAAGATGCAGGTGAAAGGAAAGTATAAAGTTTTTACATGAGATAATGCATAATGTTGGTTGCTTTATATATTTTTCAGATTTGCACAGTCAGCTCTTGGTAACTCTGACTTCAGGATGTTCTTATTCCAAGCTTAAGAAATGGTGAAATTATTTTTCTCAAATACAGGTTGCGATGATAAATTGTCCCCTAAATTACACAAAAATGAAAATAGCAATGACATCTCATTTTAACAGATGTAGTTACCAAAATTACACAAAAATATCTTGAAATACTAAAGAGTAAATTTATTAAATAAAATCGCCATTGGCTTCAACCATGGCACCCGGACGACTTAGGTATCTAAAATTCTTGTGGACGCTCTCCTTTTTTAAATTGTTGAATATTGCCATAATCCTTGCCTTCAGTTCATCCTTGGTGCTACAATGAGTTTTGTTGGTCTTTCGCTCACACATAATAATCAAGGGTGTTGCAGTCTGAGAAGTTAGATGTAAAGAGTGATGTGGTCGCAGAAATTATCTGACAGCCAGGACTGGGTGCTCCTGCTTGTGTGGCATGGTACAGAGTCCTGTTACCAGACATAGGGTCTTACAGTAGCCACCCTCTTGACTCAAGGCAGCACTACCTCCTCAATGAACTTTATGTAAGCCTCTGTGTTGAGTCTGAGGTCATGTGGGATGATGAATGGAGGCATAACGTCGCCATCGCTAGTGATCACTCTAACCACCATGGTGTTGATTGAATATATCATCCAACTCTTTCTGAATCCTCTGCACTGTCCTCAGACTGACACCCAAACACTCTGAAATATTCGTATTGGAGCTTCCGGCGCGAATGCCAAGCAGTACAACATGGCGTTTCCAAATTTCTGGCGGGGTGAATCGCGTCATGCTACTCTTTTTCTTTACAGGCTGACCCTACTATACTGTGTAGTCGACAAAATCAAAAACAAAGGACGTACATGCGCGAAATAAAAACTATAAAATGGCGACAATTTACCCATCGGATCTTGTAATATGTAGCCAGAAACCGCTTCAACCAGTATGCAAAGTCTGTCGGTAAAATGATATACTTATCTATTTTTATTCCAAGCAGCTGACGAGCTATTTCTGCACCTTTCTTTGGTGCTTATCCCGACCAATATAAGCAGGTAAGCTAATGGATAAATTAGCAGGTTTTTCAAATAACCAGCTAAAGAAATTCATACCAATGTTTTTCAACATAATAAAACTTATACTTCTGCACAACGCTTTAATAAATTCTTACTGAAATCTTACCTAGAATTTGTTTCGTTCTTTTTTTTTAATGACTATTCTTTGTTGGAGTTGAACAACTTTTATTTGCCATCGATTTTGATCTGGCATCTCGTCTGCGCTCAATTTCTCACCTCGTTCCGTCTGTTCTAGAAATATTTTCATGGCAACTACTCGAATAAACTTATTTTCCTGTGTCCCGACTACATGAATTTAACCATGTTACCAGATTGGCAATTAGGTCTCAAAGTTTTACTGTTAAACTTGGTACCGCCACTTCTACTCTAACAGTTTTTTTTCTCGAACTTCCCATCTGTGGAACTCCCTTCCGATTTCTTGCTTCCCTGATAACTACAATTATAAATGCAACGTCAATCGACATCTTCTGTTTCCTTGTACTGTTTTCCTGTTTTGTCCTTTCCCCAATCCTCCCACTTTTCAATCTTCTATCTTTCACTTTTACTCTCTCTAACCCCTGCGTTCTAGTTCTGTTGTCGCCTATGATTCAAAATATGTCTCTTCAGAACGTGGGCGATCATGGCTCTCCATACCTACCCATGATTTGTAGCTCTAAGGAATGTTTATACCCTTAACCCCTCACGTCACTTATTTTACCTTCCATCTACACAAACTCGTTAAATAAGTTAATCGCAATTTCCTTAGCCCGTCTTGCCTTCAATATAGTTTATGAGTGTCAGATTCTCCAAGCTCTCTTTCCTCGTGCATCTCAGAAATGTCAACTGTTTCTTCCTGATACTATGTATAGCGATTTACTAAGCGTAGCTTAAATGTGGTACAGGGCCGAAAGGATAGAGCACCCAGTGAGTATCGCTCACTATTCAGTCGTAATTCATCTAGCACGACAAGCTCGTTAACCATTACACCACGTCGACGTGACCTTCTGATACTAAGTGTTAGTGACCTTATTTTCTTTTTTTCTTAAATCCTCTTCGTTCCTCACATAATTTCGTCCACGGCTTTGTCAGCACCCTTCGGTAGAACGACATCTCTGCTGACTCAAGACCTCTCTTCAGCTGTGATGAAATCGTTCAGCATTCACTGCCATATATCATATCGTAGTTCAACACACTTGTTTCTTAATCCTTTGCTTAGCTTTTGGAAGGCATCTTCTCTATCTTTCTGTCTCGGATTTTCCGTCGTCTGTTAAAACACTTCCCAGACATTTAAATAATTGTACTTGTTTGATTTTGGTATCTCTAACTTGTAAATCGTATGCTGGGCTGTTCCCTTTTTTTTTTTGCTAACGGCCATATATTCTTTTTATTCTTATAAGTAATGGTTGATCGATTCTTTCCGCTTTCCTTTACTACTGAAGGGACAAGGCACATAGAAGAAGGTTTGAACTTGGACTCAGCAATAGAATGAAATTGATTGATTGATTTATTTTTATGGCTTATCAACCCTTTGCAGGTTAATTAAAGCCAGAAAATATTTTTACACTGTAAGAATTTTTTTGAGATAATAATGATTTTAGTGATACACGTCTTACTAATTAACCCATAGCTGAGGGAGAGAAGAGGTGAATTCATACATTTATCAAGGTTACTTGCGAGTAAGTTAATATAACGAACCCATCGGTAATTAAAACTCGGCTGTCCGATTCATAATTCCGAGCAATTATCCATTACCCCCCTGCACATCCAAGCTTATATCACCTGGTATTCCCAAACTGTCATCCATCTAGGTACTGAACAAGCTCGGCGTTGCTTAACTTCGATGATCGTGCCGTGATTTGACCGTTAAGCTAAGAATTGTGGAATTACCAAAAGTGTCTTGTCAACCATTTCACTATGGCGGGTTTTCAGATTATGACAAGAAGACTGACTGTTAGTATTTTTTGCTTGAAATGTTACAGAATAAAGGGAGTTTATTGAGCTTTCACCGGTTCTTGTTTGATCACCGAAGTTAAATAGTGCCAAGTCTGGTCAGTACTTAGATGGAGTTGGGGCTGCTTGGAAACATTCGGTCATGGACCGAACATATGAGCAACGATGAAGTTTTAGAGAAAATCGAAACAAAAAGAAAACTTATACTTCACATCAGGAAGAGACAATTGAGGTTTCTAAGGCACATAATGAGGAAAGAGGGCTTGGAAAATCTGATACTCACGGGACAGATTGAAGACATTAGATACAGAGAAAAACAATATATAATCTAGTTAATGAGATTGAGTAAATATATGTTGCAACAAGGTTTAGGAGAAATAACAGAAAGACAAAATTAAGAGCTACAAAGGACAGGAAATAGTGGAGTTTAATAATGGCCGACGTCTTGAAGGGACACGGCGGATAAAGAAGAAATGGCCTCCTACAATCCCAAATATGTTTCGGTTGTAAATAACACACATTGAATAAGTCATAAAAAATAAATCAATAAATAAATTGCTCTTTTTCGGTTTTAAAAGAATACGAAAAAGAAAGAAATGAACTATTAAAACTTACCAACAAATCCAGTTATGCAAGGAATCTCCACCGTTTTTCCTGATGGGGTGATCGACCACTTGTTATCTTTGGGACACGTTTTCTTCTCTGTTAATAAATGCAAAGACAGATCTTGTCAGTATTTCTGAATTTTTGATTTGTGAAATTTTAACTTTTATATATAGTTTTTTTTTTTTTTTTTTTTTTATCATGCAATAAATATATAGCAGAACTTAATACTGAACAGTATCCCGAACACTGATTTTTATCTACGGTTACATTAAATACAGACGCACATCCATGGATAAAAAATTAAATTAAAATATAGCTAAAGATACTATTTTAGCGAGATGTGGACTCATAGAACCAGTAAAAGTAAACCCATTTTATATATAGATAGAAGACAGTAAAAGTAGTGAGCTTTCAAATAGTGTGGCTTTATTGTTAGCGGACAGGGCACCAGAAGAGAAATACATTCAAGAACAGCACAAGCATCTGTCTCATGCAAACCATATAACACAACCTCCCCTGGACCATCTGCAATCAAATGGATTAGCAGAAAGGATGGCGCAAACTATAACAAACGAACTGGAAATATGTGTACAACTCTTCGGTGCAAGGAGATGAGGTGACTCAAGTAACAAAGACTATAAATAGCTACGGCTATTACCCATGGGGAATTGAGTGTATACTACTTCCTGAGACTAGGTAACAATATACAACATCGTTATCTTTTCTGTATAGCCCCCAAGAACTGCACTTGTTGACCTTTCTTACACTCATACAACATCACACAGTAACCCTCTACCTTGAGTGGTTATTGGGCCTTGTGTTGAATGACCATTAGTAAAATGAAAAATAAAATAAAAAATCGGTTTCCCAAATTAAAAAGGGAATGCAGGTTCAATTCTTACCAGGAGTCACACTCACTTCATTAAATATTAATTAAATGTTAGCCGGTATACATTAATTTCACAGTTTTAAAAATAAGAAATGTCTGCTCATATACGTGATAATAACCTTTAATAAAATTGAAAATGTCTTGCGAAAAAGAAGGAGAAAGAGAGTCACAAATAAAAAGGATTCTTTTAATACAAGTTCCTGATATTGGTGAAAGCTAGTTTGGCGGACCGTTGATACAACACCGTGATTAATGCTCGAAGAGTATTGTACATATGTTGCCTTGAGAATAATGCTAACATTGTAAATATTGATAACAAGTCTTACCTGGTTTATAGACGCGGATTGTCGTGTTCGCCTCTCCTTTTCGTAATTGACTTGTGGCTCGACACAAGACAGTGGTTTCAGCTTTAACATTGAACAAAGATAAACTCGCATTGCGTTTGAAATGAATTGTCTTGTTTTCTCCACGAAGTCCTGAGAAAAGAAAAGCGAGATATAATAACAAAAATCAAGACAAAAAAAGGACGATTTAATCGACATATTTAGGTAAAACCTTTGTTTTTCATTTGCTGTACCCCATTCAATAAAAGACTTAGTCTAGCTCCCGCACTCTATATAATAATGTATAAATTAACACATCACGCGTCGTTATTGGAAATTATGACGTCACCATTAACCAGTTTTTCACAAATAGGCATCAATCTTTGAATTTCTGGGATGAGGAGTTATCATTATTTACAGTATTTATATTCGGACAATTGTCCTCGTCCTTATTATTATCACAACGTTTCGACAGTGGCACTCCTCGGCCATTCTCAGGTGTATATATATCTACGGGACAATGGCCTAGTGGGTAAAAGTGTTGGTCTGTGAATTTGGTGAAATAGCGGTTGTTAGTTCAATCTCAGTGGAAAAGGGCGAGCAATTACTGTACAGTACAAATTAAAAATAAGAACTCGACGATATCTCCAGACATCGAGTGGAACACATATATACGATCCATTGCTATAGATGCTAGAAAGATTGTCGCTTCATTCTATCGACACCTGTCAGAATTAATTGTTACAAGTGTCAGATTAGACCAAAAAATCGGCTGGTGTTTGTAAATCCTCGCTTTCCAGCCTTGACAGTTCCAAATCGCTCATGCCTACGCGACATTATTCTCTACTCTACCGCTATTCTGTTATTTGCAAGGCAAACGTTCAAATGAGCTCCATTCTTTAGCTCCACTAGTTCCCCCCTTTACAGCGAGGACACGCCGTGTTACTTCCACGATGTCGAATTGCCCTCGTTTCTTCCGTATTCCAAACATAAGGAGAAAGTCCCGCTTTTCTTCTAATATATGGAGCAGGCTCCCGTCTGGAAGCTTCTCTGAACACTAAAATCTGAATCTTTTTAAGTCAAGGATCAATCTTTATCCTCCTTTTCCTCATAATTCTAACTTCTTATTTCACTCATATCACATGTCATACACTAGAACACTCTACTTTGAGTGACTCAAGAGCCTTGTATTCGAGGAACATTAATACTTTAAAAATTGTTTCGAATTACTTGTGTTCGGTAACTTGCATTTGCATATTCCCCTCTGAAAGAACACCTCTAAGTTTACTCTAACAAAAGATCTTCCCACATGGACAAATTCTATATAAGTATATATTTTATATAATCATTGTACATACAGTAGTTACATATTTTGTTTAAAATAATTTAATCTAAGAAATATTTTTTTAACTTGGGAAAGGTATGTATCCATCCCCCTAGATATGGGTTAAATAGTAGGACAGACCTGTTTATTCAGATTTGGCTGACCACCAGTCTAGGAGAAGGACAGCTTTGAATTAAAAACCCGTTGGACAACATATCCCATAAAAATCTACTTGAAACCACAGCATCAACGCCAGGTATATTGAAAGCTGTTGTCCTGTACTTCTCAGTGGATGTTTAAATAATTTGTTGTTTTACAGCTTATCAACCATTTTGCATGTTATTTAAAACCAGAAAATATTTTAGGATCGTAAGAATGTTTTGAAGATAAAAATGATTTACTGATACAAGTCCTACTATTTAACCCATAGCTGAGGAGAGAGAGAGAGAGAGAGAGAGAGAGAGAGAGAGAGAGTGGATTCATACCCCCCAATTGTATTTCTGTGTAAGTGAATATAACGAACACAACTTGAATATGAACCCGGTTCTCTGATTTCCAATTTCGAGACGTTATCACCACCCGCACACCCAAGCTTATAACAACTGTTATTCAAAAGTGGTCAACAGTCTAGGTACTGACCAGGCTCGATGTTGCTTAAGTTCGGTGATCGTACGAGAAACGGTGTTTCAACGTAATATGGCCATATGCCTGGAATCTACGGCACATGTGTGAGTGAATTTATAACAGATGCTAATGTCGAAATGAAAAATAAAATAGTATATTTTTATTTAGTTTGACTGAGGAGAAAAGATTAGTAATTGAAATGATTTAAAAAAAATGTAGACGAAATTTACATGAAGCAGATAAAGATAACGTATATTAATTACCTTTTATTATTTGAAAAGTTATAGAAGCAGAGACATTATTCAAAATGGAACAGTTCAGTGTTACGTTTTGTCCTGCCTCCACAAACGGAGTATTAGTTGTAATTTTCACTTGAGGCAGTGGTTTGACATCCAGAGAAAGGACAACGACATTTGAACCGACGTTTCCAGCAGCGAGACAATACAATTGACCTGAAGAAAATGTACGGGCAAAAAGTTAAATATAATTAGTAACATACATGCATAGGTTTTAGCAGGATTGTAGAATAGTATTCGAAACATAAGAGGAGATAATGGGACAAAAAGGAAAAGCTTCTTTTTTTTTTAACAACAACGCGTTTTGCCAAGCTGTGTTAGGTTCGGCGTCTACAGGTCGGAAGGAAAGAGAAAAATGCGTTGTGATTTTTGAGGATAAGAGGGACAATAAATTAAATTGCCTTAGATCCAACGACTAGACCAGAAAGTGTTTCTATATATATATATATATATATATATATATATATACACACACACACACACATATATATATATATATGTGTGTGTGTGTGTGTGTGTGTGTGTGTAGGGAAAAGTATATAACAAGGTAGAAAAAAGTTTTGTTGTGAAGCTTCTCGTCCTTTAGGACTTCATCGAACTAAATTTGTTGTGACTACACATTCGCACGAACGAGGGATGCTGGGAATTTTGAATTTGAATTTTTTCTCTAAAAGCCCGAGCACAAATTGACTGTTGATAACCTTGATATATATATATATATATATATATATATATATATATAAATATATTTAGTAAACTCCTAAGATAATATGTAAGTAAACTCCTAAGATAATATTAAAAAGATGTTTTTTTTCCAGATAATCAACAAATCTTAATTATATATTCCTTAAGAAAAAATTTTGTTAAACTAACTACCACCACTGTCTACTTTTGACGTCACGATGTCGACCAGTTTTTTCAAGAATTTTAAAAAACTTTTGAGAAGTTGTGAGCGTCAATTTTTGACAATTCTTCTCGGCAAAACCCCACAAAATTGCTTCATATTACCTGGGTTTATTGTATGTAGTGCCTTCTTTAACTGGAACCACAGATTTATGTCAATCAGGATGTAGATCAGAGTTTGACTAGACCATTCCAAAACTTGAAATTTATTTTTTTCGAAGCTATTCTTTTGTGGATTTGCTTTGATTCTTCTGATCATGTCCTGATGGAATATCCAACACCAACTTAAACCCAACTTTCAAACCATGGGCATGACACTTACTTTCCAAATGTCTTGGTATCTTTCAGAGTCCATTGTGCCGTCAATGCGTACTATTTTGCCTGTACTAGCCGCTGCAAAGCAACCTGAAACCATAATACTGCTGCCACCATGTTAACTGTTATTAAAAGCCGCATTAGGAGCTCGCCAGAGATACCGCCTATCGTTTCTCTCAAAAAGCTCTAGTTTTGTCTATCCGACCAGGACCCTTCTAGCTTATTAATATGAGCTTTAGCATTCTTGAACCGAGCTTGTTTGTACTTTTTATAAGCAACAGCTTTTTTTCTAGGCATTCTTCCATGGAAACAGACATCGTTCAGATTTTTGTCCCACTGTAGACGTATTCACATTGATTCCGACATTGGCCAGGGAGCGTTGGAGAACCGCAGAGGTTACAGCAGGATTCGCCTGGGCTTGCCGAACATGATGTCTATTTGCGGACGGCTAATTCTTAATTGCCATACTTTCATATCAAAACCTTCCATTTATAAATTATTTGTCGCACAGTGCAGACGTTCACTCCAAATCGTTTTGATAACTTTTTGTAGCCTTCCCCACCATTCAACAATGCGATTTTTTTAAAGCTTTGGAAAGTTCTTTTGATCTTGGTAGATTTTTCTTTTTAAATTTAGTCTTTAACTGCATACTTTTGCATACATATATGTTTGTTGACTACAGGATACGGTACTTACCAAAAAAATGAATACGTGTCATTTTGATTTTTATAAAAATTATTTGCAGTGTCAACCATGAAAACAAAAAAAGTAAGATCGTAAATTTATATTTTGCACATATCAAATTTGAATTAATATTTTTATTCCAGATTGATAAAAATTTATAATATTTATATGTAAATAATGTAAATTTGGACAGTAACCTTTCTTTCCAACATATTTGGTTGAATATGACAGACAAGGATAATTTGATAGATTTTTATTGTGTTTTTCTAGTATTCTTAAATATTTCCGTTTTGAGGTGGTAAGAGAGTATAAAAGATTGTCCCTTGTGTCTACTGTCTCAAGTGTTTTCGGCAAAATTTAGCCATTTTCGAGGGCTTTGTTGTTCATTGTTGTTAATTTCTTTCCACAGTTGTCTTTTAAGATGTAATTGGTATACAATTAAGATGTGTAATTATATGATAGTAGCGTTTATTCTGATTCCCGCGAAAGAAACGTGGCTGGAATTCAAGTCGGTGGCCTTCTATTTAATGTTGCCGGCTTGAATATACAGAGTCCGCCCAAAATAAGGATATACACTTCAAGAACGAAAAAAAAACAAAAACAAATTTGTCCTTCGTAGTTTTATCAAATTGCGATAACGCTTTTTACTGTAGTACGACATTTTCTCGACAGATGGCAGCCCTTAGACAAGAAATTAAAAATGCATGTGCAGCAATCTCATTGAATACTTTGGACGACATTGCTCAAGCAGTAGTCCCTCATACTAATAAATATCTGGAAACTAAAGGCCACTATTTTGAGCATCTCTTATGATTGTAGAGTTCAAAGGTAACTTGTGATGTCGGAATAAATTTTGTATTACAATATCTATACAAGTTTTTCCTTTCCTGAAGTGTGCATAGATTTTTGGGGCTGACTCTGAATATATTGTGTACTAGCAGCATGGCCCGGCGTTGCCCGTGCTTGATTCAAAAATCGTACGACTCATACAGCAATCACTATCACTTGACTTAAAATATTTTTGCCCTTCCTTGCCTTTAAAGGAGTTCCTTTTGCAGTGTCGATGTTGCTACATGCCTTCTTTCTAAGCTCTATACTAAACATTAAATCTGTTACGAAAAAAGAACTAAACAAAATGAACACAAAACGTTCAGCTTTAAAAAAGGACTCGTCACTGGAAAAACCTAATGAAAAAAGAATGTTAACAACAAATACTTTTTTCACACCCAACCCAGTTCTGTGGAATCAGAATCAACGTTGAGTTTAAGCAAGCGAATGAGCCAATTGGAGTAAAGTGCCATGCAGATTTAAATTTTTCCCACTTGTGACGAATGCAGCTATCGATTTTTTTGCATGCTAGCATGCTAGTTAACATTCGTGTTAGTCAGCTGTTGGCTTTCACGCTGGCCAATAGAATCTTCCTGGCTTTTCGTGGCAACCAGCTATAGGCTCTCACTCTGGCCAGTAGAAAATGTTCGCAAATTACATGAAAAGTGCCGTAGAAGCATGAAAAAATCGATTATTTCCACTATTGATGGGAGTTGGGAAATGCAAAGCCGGTTTTGGCCTTCCCGCTAAATGGAGCATGTGCATGTAAATTTTGATGCAAATCCGTCGAAAATTGCGGCCATGCATTCGTTACACACACACACACACACACACACACACACACACACACACACACACACACACACACACACACACACATCCTGCCTTTTATAGATAGAGATTTGGGCAGTAAGCTCTTTTATACAAGATTCATTAAAAACGCGTGACAAGGTACTGCGCTTAAACTTGTTTCTTTACTTTTTCTTCTGTTGTTATAATTTTCTTCTTTTCTGGACACAAATTATATAAAAATTGTCCAATGTTTTGTATGTCCTAGTATTTACTTTATATATATATATATATATATATATAAAAGAAATATGTTGTAGTGGTTCCAACGAGAGAAAAGTATGTATATTAAAAAGAAGAGGGGTGCCGCAAACGTTTTTGGTTGTAATGTGGATTTATTGAGAAAAAATATTATACTTTGTTTTACATAATTTCACGACACGTGTTTCTGGTCTGGTCTCGCAACCGTCTTCAGGTGAAAGTGGAGATTTTTACATATTATTAGTGTGTATGTGTGTGTATGCGTGTATAGGTACAAATAAGTTTACGAATTCCTCGTAGTAAGGAAATATACGCACACATATATACACGCATGCTGACAGGAACACGCCAAAATAGAAACAGATCCAAGAGCACATAGAGGTCACTAAAACATTAAAAGATTAAATGCCGATAACTACTCGCTGGACAAACCTTAATTGTTTTATGACCCTTCACGCAGAACTCTTCATTGACAATTCTAGAAAGAAAATTCGGATTGCCAACACACAAACAGAATGTCTCATATCGAGAATATTCCACATTGAACATGAAGAAAAATTAATTATTTTTAATAATATGTAAAAATCTCCACTTTCACCTGAAGACGGTTGCGAGACCAGACCAGAAACACGTGTCGTGAAATTATGTAAAACAAAGTATAATATTTTTTCTCAATAAATCCACATTACAACCAAAAACGTTTGCGGCACCCCTCTTCTTTTTTTAATATATATATATATATATATATATATATATATATATATATATATATATAACCAAATTATAATAGGTAGGATTATAACAAAGAAGACTTTTAGTCTATATGAGAGTTCACTATATGATACAGAGCAAATTATAATAAGAATTAGGAGAAAAAAAAACCTTACAAATACTAAGTCAGTAATAAATTTATTTCGATGAATATATGCTTAGTGATCTTATCTGACTGACAACAATTCGTGAAATGGAATCAAGATATTACAGACAGACAGATATGCAAAGATAAAAAAAATAAAAAATTCAAGATAAAACAATAGCAAAAATAAATTGACCTAAAAATGTTTCCTATAGGGGCTTACATTATGAAGAAAGAGAACAGAAATCTTTCTGTCTCTACATTCCATTATCCGTTATAGTAACAGAATTGATATAACGAATAAGGGAAGGTAAAGAGATAGGAAGGTTAACTTTAAAACAGAGTTACAGCAATGTGTAAAATAAAGCTCACAGAGGAAGGGGTTAAATGATGTCTGTTTAAACAGCATAATCATTATTATCATATAATCCTCATCTCATAATACTAATGATAATATATATATATATATATATATATATATATATATATATATATATATATATATATATACATTTGTATTATGAGATGAAGATTATATGATATGATTATCATTATCATATAATTTCATTTCATAATACTAGTGATAATATATATATGTGTATATATATATATATATATTATCATTAGTATTATGAGATGAGGATTATATGATAATGATGATTATGCTGTTTATATATATATATATATATATATATATATATATATATATATATATATATATATATATATATGTGTGTGTGTGTGTGTGCATGTGTGTGTGTGCATGTGTGTTTTTGTGTATGTATATATGAATAAAGACACGAGGAAAACTTAGCCAGATAAGTTTTCCTTCCTCTTTATTCAAATTGTCCTTTCAGATATATTCTATCTGAAATTTTGCAGACACACACACACAAATACATATATTGTTTTTTTTCTACTGTTGAGCAGGGCACGTGGATTAAAATATTAATAAATACGAATATTGATATTATATGCAGCAAATTACCAAGCTGCTGTTTTTTCTTGTACAAATGAAACGCATTAAAACACTATTTCTAATACAAATGGAATAATCACAGGATTTATCTCCCTTTAACTATCTTAAACCAACAACATCAAAAGTGAAAATGTTTGGAGTAAGTAATGTCTCGTACGTTTATCCCACAGGCCCTTGACTAAACACAACAGTAATTATTATTACACGCTTGGTTACTCTCGCCTGTTTCTATCCCCTTCTCTCAAGATAACGCTAACGTAATTTTAGTCATGTATCGAACACAATGCATTGAAATTGAACATTATTACTTACCTTTGTCCTTCACTCTCAGATATTTGAATGTCAATGTTCCAACAGTTTCATTCTTGGATTTATTCATTTGTGTGACTTGAATTCTAGCATTCTTATTATTTCCCTCCAAGATGGGCAAGCCGTTAAGCATCCACATTATTTTGACATTTGCCGGTAATATATTTATTGAAATTAACGAGCATTCTACCGAAAAAGAATCGTCTTCAACCTCAACGTATTTGCTGGTATTTGCAAATACAGTCACAAATGAGGCTGAAAATAAAAGAAAGTGTAGCATAATTAAATGTTAGTTTTTTAAAAAATTTCAAGCTACTAGTATCCACGCTTTGCACACACTCTATCCCAGATATTGAACACTTACACATAGAACATACCTTAAAAAACTATATATATATATATGAATAAAGACAAAAGGAAAAATTATCTTAATCGACGCGTTTCGTCCTGATAGACTTTATCAAGACAAATGGAAGGGTTTTATTTTGTAACAGGTATTGATATAGTGGGTGCGATGGGTAAATTGTCGCCATTTTTTTTTTATTGTTCGCATGTTATCTGTTTTTGATTTTGTCGACTACACAGTATAGTATCGTCAGTTCGGCACCATCCGTGACAAAAAGAGCTCTATGACGCACTTCACTCCGCCATGCTGTACTGCTTGGCATTCGTGCCGGGAGCTCCAAACTTTTCAGAGTATTTGGGTGTAATTTGAGGACAATAGAGGATTCGGAAAGAGTTGGATGAATTTAATGGTAATTACGAAGGTGGTTGGAGTGATCATTATTGATGGCTCCTTTTATCTTTCTACAGGACCTCAGAATCAACACGGAGGCATACATCAAGTGCCTTGAGGCGGTAGTGCTACCCTGGGTCAAGAGGGTGGCTGTTGACAGATCCTATATCTGGTAACAGGACTTTGCACCATACCACACATGCAGGAGGACCCAGTCATGGCTGTCAGACAATTTCCGCAACCGCATCACTCCTTACATGTGGCCACCTAACTCCCTAGACTGTATGTATTTTAATAGTAGTGTTAATTTTTTATATATTTCCGGAACGAAAGAAAACCTGGGATTTAATATACGAGGAGCATTCCACAAGTTTTGAGAGTTCAATGATTTGCAATTAGTAATAATAATAATAAAAAAAAAAACTTCTCAAGTAATCTTATTATATGTATAGTAATGATATCCTAAAAATTGCAATAATCTAAGATATTTACTGTCCTAGATTATTGTAATTTTTAGTATATAGTAGTAGATAAGTTCGCCTATCGTCGTATTTTGAACAGAAATAGATTTTTATCGCTTGTTTCCTGTTTCGGATTTCGTTTCTTCTAAAGTCTTTTCATTGCCATTCACTCCGAGTAGGCCCTTGCGTCTTAGTGGCATTATCACCTAATTTACAGAATGCAATCGGGACGTGAAGACAATTTGAACGCTTGCAATGTAATAAGGGTTTGTGCTGACATTTAGTGATGGTGTCACGATAAAAAACATCCTTGATAGCCCTAGCGAAGCATCAAGAATTCAGCTATTTGACAAGATTATGAACTACTCCAATCAAAGTATTAGCTATGACAGATAAGGAATACTGGAAAGGTGTAGTGAGTTCAATCTCGGCTGAGGCCGCAAGATGATGACGTCCCTTACCCTAATACAGTCCAGATCTTGCTCCGTGTAACTTTTGGTTTTTCCAAAGTCGAAGGAATACTTCAGGGTTAGTTGTTTTGAAGACATTGTGAAGATAGCCACTGTGACGAGGAACCTGGATTCCTTCAGATTAGATGTCTTTCATGTGGTTTTCACGAAGTGGCTGGAGTGTTACAAATGCATTGAAGACAGAGGATCTTATAGGATATAAACCTCTATATTTTAGGGTCAATAAGCGAAATATAAACAAGTAAGAGACGCCTGCAGACAAATCTTACTAAATTCAGTACATACGAAAACGTTTTTTTTACAATTCTGTACAAAGAGAGTTCCAAATTAAATAGTTGGTTTCTGGACGATGATTAGCTAAGACAAATCACGTGATGTGCTTTCTCCAACTTTCGCGCGGCTGATCTCTAAATAACCTAGAAAAGAGTCGGGGCTCGGTTATTGAATATGTTGTGGAGCTTGGAAGGCTGCGTGAATATTTAAAGTTGTGCTGCAAATAAAGCATGCAATATACACAATCATAAATTATAAAAAAATGGCCAAATGGTAACGATATTCAATTACGACAAAAGGGACATGTTTAAAACAACAAATTAATTTTTATATACACAATTTTACAATTTTTTTGTTTTGTAATGATGTGTGCGAGAGTATATTTAAGAGAAAAAGATTTTTTTTACTGCTTCAGAAATGTTCAATGCCAAAAGTAAGTAAAGGTTGTCTGCCTCTTACTCTAAAGATTAAATTCAAATTAGACAAAAGGTTTTTCTATGAAAGATATTGAATGGGAAAGTTTTTAGTCTAAATTTTCCTAATCTCTCATAAAGGAAGTTTGTTTCAAAATGTAGTATAAGAATTAAGTTTTCTTAGCGTCTCTCTGAGTTTTATCTCCTTTGCGTGTATAAATATATTTCTGCGTTCGAGTAAATCTCTCTGTGTATCGTTCGTCGTTTCTATTTATAGTTTTCTTAACGGCTAACTCAGCTCAACGAACGTTCGCCAGATGTTGCCAATAATTCTCAGAAATGCATGGGCGATATTGTATTTTTTTTTTTTTGTCCAATGGGATTTCTTGAAACATTTGAATTAGGGATGAATTTGTGAAAGATTTTTGTTTAGTCAGTTGAGCCTATTTTTGCACAAAATTTGATTTTTTTGTTATGGAAATTTATATTTAACAACCAATGAAATTTAAGAAAATGCTTGAAATTGAAATAAGGGTTACTAAAAATACAGTTCCGCGCAAAACTCAGATAGTGATACGGAGTTGAGCACCGACTAATCATAGCGATAAAAACGGTTCACGATAAACAGTCAGCGACTAGATATGCGAATGAACAGTCAGCAAGCCAGGCCATGTGTCGTTCAACAGCATAGAAACATGTTACCATGATAACGCGTCAGTCACCGATGATCTTTCTAAAACTAAAAACATACAAAGCCGTGACGAAAGTAAGAACTGACTCCTCTGTCTTTGCTTTACCGTATTTAAAATTATTACTACCGCAAGTATCTGTCATACATGTGTTTCATTAGCGTGTGCTTCACACACACACGTATTGGCGTACCATACAGCTTTTTTTTTTCACTTGTAACAAAATCCTTTCGAACAATCGAACTATTGGTCTCTTCATGACCACAAAACAGAATATTGAATTTTAATATGTAAATACATGCACCTCCTTGTATAAATATTATTGTTATATTTAGTTTGGTCGGCGAAGACCATTTATTCACGTTGTTATAATTTTGTGTTATATTTGTGGGCACGACATTGAGATGTTATTTTTCCACCTAAAATCTGAGTAGGCTTACCGCACAATCTTATTTTCAGTACTTTAAGTTTCAAAACATCTGGAATGTATATCTCGTATATACAAATGTTTATATATATATATATATATATATATATATATATATATATATATAGAGAGAGAGAGAGAGAGAGGGAGAGGGAGATAGACAGAAATTATTTTAAGACAGTATCTGTAAAGAAAAAATGGATAAAAGAGAGAAAAAAAATTATTCTGTTCACTTCTCACCAATGCCCTATAGAAAAGCTACGCATGCTCTTTCCCTGTGTTCCATTGCTATTTAACTTACAGAAGTATTTCGTCCATTGTGTCTAATAATGGTTGATACACAGTCATCAATTGAACAGTAGAAACACAGCTCTCTGATAACTACCTTATTTGTTCAGGTAGTTTCACACACACACACACACACACACTATTTTATTTGTTCAGGTAACACACGTGCACCTCTCTCTTCTCTCTCTCTTTCTCTCTCTCTCTCTCTCTCTCTATATATATATATATATATATATATATATATATATATATATAAATAAAAAGAAAGAACAGCAGTAAGATATATAATCCGGTGTTCTTATAGATATTTTTATTTTTACAAAATAGTGTTCAATGTAAATTTACAGATCATTAATATTATAAATTAATTGATTTAAAATATGTTTTTTTTTAGCTACACAGTTCTAACCATGATTGAAAAATGGAAGTTAAAAGCTTCGAATTTAATTTTCTAATTAAATTAAAGACATTAGTTCCATTTCAAAATTCGATTGATGATGAAATGGAACTAATGTCTTTAATTTAATTACAAAATTAAATTCGAAGCTTTTGGCTTCCATTTTTGAAACATGGTTAGAACTGTGTAGCGAAAAACATGTTTTAAATCAATTAATTTATAATATATATATATATATATATATATATATATATATATATATATATATATATATGAGATAACGATATATATTATATATTTTTATATATGAAGAACAATATTGGAAAAATGTATGAAAAGTGGAATAATATTTTCTTGTGACGTGTTTCATCCTTTCGGGCGTCATCGTACTAAATTTGTTATCTTGGTGCGACTACACACAAACACGGCCAAGGTATGCTGGAAATTTTAAATTTAATTTAAATTTTTTTTTTATTTAGCCGATTTTATTTAAACTCTTTTTTTTCCATCACATTTGTTAGTATGTAATCCACACTGTGATAATTAGAAGACCTGCCAGGAATGGTAAACTGTTGTAAGATCCCGGGCACTCTCCAGACATTTAAGTCGCAGTGAATTGTTTCTCCATTGATCAGAGTAGAATTTTTTATATCAAAATTGTAGTCAGTCTCGTTACAGTGGGCAAACAATGCATTTGACGTATTATTTTGTAAAATGTCCCTTTTGTGTTCATAATCTTTTATTTACATTCGCCAATTTATTTATTTTTTTTTTGACAATTATTACAGTTGTCCTACTATATCTATCACATCTACAATAGGAAAGAACCTATCTAAACTCAACATAAAATTTTTTACTACTACATCAAAAACAATAAAAGACTCAGTCAATAGTAAATTAATTGAGCTAAAACTCAATTCATAAGACGTTTGGCGTGTGGGAGAGGAGTTTCAGCTATGACAGTCCGAAGAGCAGTGAAAATAAGACTTGAAAATGAAATCTTAAGTGAAACCTGTGAAGCAACGTGTTACACCAGGACAGAAAATTAAAAGGTTAGAGATGGCGAAGATCATCTGGTATAAGTTGATCCTGGAATAATAT